CAATTTATTTGACATGGAATTCATGGAAGATAAAGTTGACAGCGTAACAGATGATATTCTTGAATGTCCAATATCTAGAGAGGAAATTTTTGACAGCATATCCAACCTTAAAGATAATAAGGCATCTGGAAATGATAATGTGATAGCAGAGTTTTTTAAACATTCCTCAGACATTTTAATACCATATTTGGAAATAATTTTTAATATCCTTTTAGAGAGATCATATTTTCCAGATAATTGGACAGTTGGCATTATTGTCCCTCTTCACAAACAGGGCGCAACCAGCGATGTTAATAATTACAGAGGCATAACTCTCCTAAGTACATTCAGTAAAATATTTACTTCAATTATTAACAAGAGACTTGTTTTCTGGGCGGATTCTTTGGATAAGATAAGTGAGTCACAAGCAGGTTTTAGAAAAGGATACTCCACCACTGACAATGCTTTTATCCTATATTCTATAATTCAGAGATATCTATCAGTGAAACGAGGGAAGCTATATGCTGTATTCGTAGATTTTGCAAAAGCTTTTGACTCTGTGAAAAGGGATAACTTGTGGTCACACTTTCAAAGACATGGGCTAAGTAGCAAAATTGGAAAGTTATTATGCTCTCTATATAAAAATGTGAAGGTATGTGTACGGAACAATGGCGCTATATCGGATACTTTTGTAAGTAGCAGGGGTGTCCGACAAGGGTGTATATTAAGTCCCTTCTTATTTTCCTTTTTCATAAATGATTTGGCATATCAAATCCAAAAAAATTGCACTGATGGAATACAACTGCACCCCGAAACTATTAAATTATTTCTGCTTCTTTTCGCTGACGATATAGTCATGTTCTCGAGCACAATACCTGGCCTGCAAAAGCAAATACATGTATTAGAGAGTTATTGTGACGAGTCAAAACTTACTGTAAATATGGATAAAACCAAAGTTGTAGTTTTTAAAAATGGTGGTAACATATCCAGAAAAGAAAAATGGTTTTACAGAAGGAAGCCTGTAGAAGTTGTTCCATTTTATAAATACTTAGGCTTGTGTTTTACAAGTAGATTAACTTGGTCAAGGAATGCACATAACATTTCATTGCAAGCCAAGAAAATTTTTGTAGGCATATTAAAAAGTCTTAGAGTTCTGGACAATGTTACATATGATGTTTATTTTAAAATATTTGATACAAAAATAAGCCCGATGCTATTGTATGGATCCGAAATTTGGGGCCTAGAACATTTGGATGTTATTGAGAAAATACATTTATATGCATGTAAACGGTTCTTGGGGGTAAAATCTAGCACAGAAAACGCAAGGGTATATGGTGAATGCGGACGGTTTCCCATGTATATTAATAGTTATTTAAAGGTTATTAAATACTGGGTTAAGATATTAAATATGCCATCTTCAAGATACCCGAAAAAATGTTATAATATGATGCTTCTCTACGACAGCCATGGGAAACAAAATTGGGCATCAAAAGTTAAAAACATGTTATACGAATGTGGATATGGTTATATTTGGTTACAGCAGCATGTAGATATGCCACAACATTTCTTCTCCCGTTTGACACAGACTTTAAAAGATATGTACATTCAAAAATGGCATTGTTCTTTGTTTAGTTCTAGAAAAGCAAACTATTACACTACATTTAAGACTACTATTATATTAGAACCTTATCTATTAAGTGTAAATTTACATAAGTTTAGAACAGCTCTTTCTCGATTCCGTTGTGGCTCACATGATCTATTTATTGAAACAGGCAGATATGAAGGTATTGCAAGAGAACACAGACTTTGTAGGATTTGTAAAACTGATTGTACTGAAGATGAATATCACTTTTTATGTGTATGTCCAGTGTATGAAGATTTAAGAGCAAAATATCTAAATAACTATTTCTACCGCAACCCAAACGGTAACAAATTTTGTAAATTAATGACTTGTGATTGTACAGAAACTATTAGAAATCTATCAATGTTCATTTATCATGCCATGAAACTAAGAAAATGTATGAATTTGTAACACGCCCCACACATTGTACTATAGGCCTTTGGCCTCATAAGTACCATGAATAAAGATTGATTGATTGACAGCAACACTGCTTTCAACAGTATATGCTGGGGTGGAAACAATTCACTGATGTGGCTTTCCTTCTCGGTAGTTTGCGAATGTGTTATTAAATGTTATAATTCATACCAGACCTTACATGTGGAGGACATAATTGTGTTTCTGCCGACGGTATGTGGTAAAACAAGTAATACTTCAACTGACATGACAGAGTGCGTATCGCGTATCCCGACTTTACCACTGAAGTAATGTTTCTATCGTTAAAATCCTTATAACAAAGTCGATAACTAGGAACTTCCATTTACTTTATTGTAATGATGTAACGTCTGATAATTGAAATACTGACTTATCATACCTTCATGTCAAAATGATGAGATCTGATTGGTCCACGTGATCTTCATAAAATATTTTGTTCTTACCAGTGACCATAAAATGTATTTTGATGGTCTCTGTACTTACGTCTGGATTTTACTAAATGGTATAGACTTGTGGAAGGTGTGTAAAGCTTATTGTTTGTTTGTTGCTAAACGCCGCACTCAGCATTATTCCAGCTATATGACGGCGGTCTATAAATAATCGAGTCTGGATCAGGCAATCCATTGATTGGCATCATGAGCATCGAACCACGCAATTGGGATACGGTGACATGCATAAACCAAGTCAGCTAGCCTGACCACCCGATCCCGTTAGTCGCCTCTTGAGGCAAGCATGGGTTGCTGATGACCTATTCTACCCCGGATCGTAAAAGCGTATTACGACGTAACAATAGCATGTTTGTTATAGGTATTTAAAAAGGCAGAGGTTCATCAGAAATATACAGTGTATTAACATAGAAAGTTTGGAAAAAAATGACTTAGGTTTATACTCTATTACTGATTCTCAACCCGTTGGAACCCGGGTTAGAAAAGGCCCCAGCACTCTGGATAGGATAACAACTTTTGAAAAGTCCCGATTCCCAATTTTCTTATTCTATTTGAATTATTAGCAAATTAATAAAAGTTGGTGATTTACACATGAAAAACACCTTCCAGATGCTTTGGGGGACACGTTACTTTGTGATAAATGAGACTTGTCAATGCAAATATAGTCTGTCAGTTTAGTAAATTCTCTCCCTAGTTTGTGTGGCTATTTATGGGAACGAAGTTTTTAACCACAAATTGTAACGAAATATGTTTATCTTTTTTTCTGGAGAACATTATCTGATTAGTTTTGTTTTGGTGAAGATCAAGTCCATTCCAGTGCATCACTAACTGCTCATGGTCACGTGGGCTCCATTCTGCGAAAGCCATGCTATGCTGGACTTTCCCTGTTAAGAATGTGGTCAGTAGATTGTGTATTTTGCTGGTCTGAATGTTCCGAGTAATGGGGAAAGTATAACCTTCCGCATTCATGGTGAAGTGTAAGAATGAGTTGCGGGTGCTGTCCACGCCAACGGTACCCTAGTCCCATAGAAAGGCAGTTGTAATGTCAGCTGAAGTCGTATTGAAGCCGGAACACATGCGCTAATCGAGAAAAGGTTGATACAAATGTTGGATGGTTATAGAATTTCGGTTTGCTTTTAGCAATTTTTCACAGAAGTCGGTGCTGAAAAACAGCCCATTCGAACGCCAGTACTATCGCTGAAGACAATTTTCTATTATCTGTTATTGACGGGGATGCTGAAGATATGTCTTGTGATTCCGTACCGTTCTTCAACATAACCAACCACTCGACTCTTTTCAGAAAATGCGGACTCAATTTAAAGCAGGAATGTATATATAGGCCTATATACATAGAGCTATTTCATTTATATGCATCTTAAATATAGGCACCATAGTTCAGTGTGTTATATAGACATCAAGATAATTTGAAGAAGTAGTGATATTCGTTGACACTGACTGGTGAATCACATGGTAAAGTAAGTGTAGAAACTGTAGTATCAGTGACGACAGAGTGAACGTGTTGATTTCAACTTCCTTATTCTTTCATTGCCCAGTGTCTGTAGAAAAGTGTGTTCTTCATCAGGCAAATACCTTGTTAAAGGCAGGGGCATATATTCTGGTACTATTTGCTGATGATGTCTTCTTCCTAGAGTTAGACAAGTGATTGATTTGGGCAACAGCATAAAGCTATGCACATGTCGGAATCTGTTTGATATGTCGGTCGTATTTATATCTTACGAAGGTTTCTCAGCTCCGTGCTCGTGCTCGTGTGTTTGACCAAGTGGTAAATATCTTAGACCCGCATCACTTCGGACTTTCCTTCTATATCAAGCTGGCATGCCGTGATATTACTGAAACACTGTTCAAAGCTAGCCCATACTCAATCTCTCACTATAACCACGAACCCTGTAGTGCTGAAAGTTTGCATTGGTGGTCCTTGTATTGATATTTCTAAAACTTGGCTAATGACGATCATATTCTAAACGTTCCCCTAACGAAGACTTTAACTTTCATTTTGAACCCGACTGAAAACCACGTGAGCCTTTGCCACATTTGGCCTGCTTGTCCGGGGTCCGGCATCGTCGTCTGTAACCATCTTTCCACAGAAACCACCTGACCAATGATGCTGAAACTGCACGTGCTTAAGTGATACTCGAATCCGTTCAGGATGTTCAAATCCGATTTCTGTTCTGTGCTTTGCGATATTTAAAATGTGACCTTGATTTGACCTAAGCACCATGCTCCTAAATTCTCTCAAAATGCATGTGCTCGCATTGTAAACATCACATCAGAATCCACTGGACGAATGAAGCTAAAACTTTCACCTCACCATTGAAACATTTTGGAGTTTGCCGACGTATGTTTTCCGTGTGAAGCCGCCTTTATGACTACAAAATACTTTACTCATAATTCTCCTTGAAGGTAAGTATAAGGCTCAGAAATGAGTCTTGTGCAATGTCAATTTAACTGTTGAGTATTAAAATAAAGTTATACAACAACACATTTATTCTTGAAAATTGATAAACATTCATTCAATAAGAAAATACAACATGATAAATGAATCCAAGTAAACAAATAAAAGACTGAACTGCTCAGTCTATGAAGTGCACAAGTATAGAGTTGACCAAATGATGTTCAAGCATGGTGACTGAACTGACATCCTACAATTACCCCAAAAAGAAAAACGTGTGCCAGAAATATGAGTATTTCAATGATAATTCGAATTTCGACATTGAAGGACGAAGCGGGACTATCACCAGACGAGTGCAATCAGGACTGTACAACGCAACACCCGGTCAGACTGACCAGTTGACCGATGAGTCCTCGCCCTGAGGAGGGGTGGGGGTCGTCAGACAGTCGGAGGGTGGGTGAGGAACATCACAACTCGGTCACCCGGTCAGCCGCTTCCGGGTACTGGGTCAGTTCCTGGCTTGACAACTTACCCGGACGACAACCCGACATCGTCAGATATTTGAATTTATCAGTTACAGTTATGTATTACAATGAAATTATTATTACAGTGTGCATGAAGAGATATCGAAATAAATTCAGCGGTTTTTTTGTTCCATGTAAAGATGTCAGCTAGTCAACATTAACGGAACATTTAGCAGCAGCAGCAGCAGCATGCAGCAAATGGTCGGGCAAGGATACGTAGTCCCTGAAACAGAAGGAAATAAGAAAAGTCGAGTCTTGACAATCAAACATAAAAATAAATTTTATGTTGGACACTAGTTTCACCGATTCGTTCATGATACACGTGTATTATGTTTTTATTTGATGGATGTTTGTAACGCGTGTGGTTGACACAGTATAGATGTACGTACCCTGAGAATCACTCTTCCCACAAGGCGAATCCTAGACTTCCTTTTGTTGGAATTGTCTGTTGAAGAAAGCACATTTGTTTATCTCAGCGACCATATGGTCTCTGGTTTATCTCCAATTCGCGATTCAAAGTATTTCACATGTTATGCTATCTATTCGTAACTCAACGCGTATTCCCGTCGGGAAATAAACATATACGTTTTGTCATGAAACAAGAAATATATAATGGCAATTCTACAACTTCCAACACAAATTCATCAGATCTGTATTGTATTGTAAGGAAGGGCGGATATTCACGAGGTTTACGCACTCTTGACAATATAGGTACCTGAGAAGGTGGCGGAGGGTGCTTCAGGAACTCTGGAATGAGGAGGAATACAATAACATTACTGTCTGAAGAATTGTCATTTTCTACCTACCGGTTTACAGTTTCTAGCAGGTATTCTGACAGCGTGCATGCTTCCATAGTGTCACTGCCTTTACTCGAGAGGAGGACGCATATAGAGGGGATCAGGATGTTCGTAGAAAAAGTATCTCAAATATTAGCCCTGCGATTTTTTGTTTGTCTCAGTCTCATACCAAGTTTGATGAAAAGTTAATGAAATTATTTAATCATTAAACGTATCGGCTCTGACGCGAATAAGTCAAAGGCATGTCTTATAGTTAGTTGTATGATTTGTTAAATAATTAATAATAAGTGATGATAAACATTCGACAGCTATTGTCAACTTTGCAAGAGGCTGTCCGACCAACTTCCTGTCTGTGATCGAACTGTCGGCCATAATTAACTGCTCTTTAACCTAGTAATTATTTACAAGACATGTTGTCTTTAATTTTACAGTACCTATTGTGATAATTAAAACACAGTAAAAAAGTATAAGTCACCTATCCACTTCATCGATGTAGTAGAACGAGATGATGCTGATGTTGCTCGTGGTGCTGCTGCTGCTGCTGGTGCTGCTTGTTGAGATTAGGCCAGATGAGTCGTGCCTAAATACAGAGAATAACACTGTATTACTGTCTGTATCCCGCAGGTCATGGCTGATGTCAGTACAGAGAGTGGATAATAAACAATGTATGGTGTATCACTGTCTGTATCCAACAGGTCATGGCTGATGTCAGTACAGAGAGTGGAGAATAAACAATGTATGGTGTATCACTGTCTGTATCCAACAGGTCATGGCTGATGTCAGTATAGAGAGTGGAGAATAAACAATGTATGGTGTATCACTGTCTGTATCCAACAGGTCATGGCTGATGTCAGTACAGAGAGTGGAGAATAAACAATGTATGGTGTATCACTGTTTGTATCCAGCAGGTCATGGCTGATGTCAGTACAGAGAGTGGAGAATAAACAATGTATGGTGTATCACTGTCTGTATCCAACAGGTCATGGCTGATGTCAGTACATAGAGTGGAGAATAAACAATGTATGGTGTATCACTGTCTGTATCCAACAGGTCATGGCTGATGTCAGTATAGAGAGTGGAGAATAAACAATGTATAGTGTATCACTGTCTGTATCCAGCAGGTCATGGCTGATGTCAGTATAGAGAGTGGAGAATAAACAATGTATGGTGTATCACTGTCTGTATCCAGCAGGTCATGGCTGATGTCAGTATAGAGAGTGGAGAATAGACAATGTATGGTGTATCACTGTCTGTATCCAACAGGTCATGGCTGATGTCAGTACAGAGAGTGGAGAATAAACAATGTATGGTGTATCACTATCTGTATCCAACAGGTCATGGTTGATGTCTGTATGGAGAGTGGAGAATAAACAATGTATGGTGTATCACTGTATCCAGCAGGTCATGGCTGATGTCAGTACAGAGAGTGGAGAATAAACAATGTATGGTGTATCACTGTCTGTATCCAACAGGTCATGGCTGATGTCAGTATAGAGAGTGGAGAATAAACAATGTAAGGTGTATCACTGTCTGTATCCAACAGGTCATGGCTGATGTCAGTACAGAGAGTGCAGAATAAACAATGTATGGTGTATCACTGTCTGTATCCAGCAGGTCATGGCTGATGTCAGTATAGAGAGTGGAGAATAAACAATGTTTGGTGTATCACTGTCTGTATCCAACAGGTCATGGCTGATGTCAGTATAGAGAGTGGAGAATAAACAATGTATGGTGTATCACTGTCTGTATCCAACAGGTCATGGCTGATGTCAGTACATAGAGTGGAGAATAAACAATGTATGGTGTATCACTGTCTGTATCCAACAGGTCATGGCTGATGTCAGTATAGAGAGTGGAGAATAAACAATGTATGGTGTATCACTGTCTGTATCCGACAGGTCATGGCTGATGTCAGTATAGAGAAAAAACAGTTTAGTTAGTGGAGAATAAACAGTTAATGGTTTATAAACTTACAAGTTGTCTGCGCTTCGATTCAAGGCAACTTCAGGATCCCTGCAAAGACCAGAAAGTATAACGAAATAAAGTTATAGGACTCGATTATTTAAAGATCGCCGTCATATAGCTGGAATATTGCTGAGAGCGGTGTTAAACAACAAAGAAACAATTTTTCTACCTTCGTGAATACTGTTAATTTCGTTATACTATTGTGGAGTAGGCATATTTGTGGCGATAGGCAAGAATACGATATCGTTGAAACCAACTTTCCAGTCTAATTTCCCTATGTTATATAAACTGTCAGTCAATACAAACAACAGATGCCAGATAATAATTCTTGGGTTCATTAAAAACGGGTTCATATAAACCGCATAAAAAGTCTAATCCCGTTCCCCGGACTTGATGGATGTTCTGAAACATAATGTGTTGTGGGGGAAACAATACATCCAGTGATCGCTATCTTACCTGGGTGGAGGACCTGGTGACCTGGGGTGGGATAATTCATCCTTGCAGTCATCCCCAGCCCCGAGATCTCTGTTCTCGTGTCCCGCTCGGGGAGCAGCCCTAAACAACAGATAATGGTAGATTGAGGGAAATGGTATCAAGACAGACATGGTGCACTTTTATCATTGTGATTTTGTAATTGTGTTCGTCCTTGAACCATGGGAATCTGTGTATTACCTTGTCTCCAAGAGATGTCCTATAAAAAAACCCAACTTCTTACTATTGAACATATGTATGAAAACAATAGAACAACTGATACTTTTCATGGATACGAACATGTTACATTACAGTCTCTACCATAACAACATTGGGGTCAAGCTGATGTCGGACCTGTCTGGCTGTTGGCACCGGAGTGCTGCTGGGAGGGGCCGCCTCTTGTGTCCCCCCTCAGTCACTGCGTCGTGTACAGAGGGGGGCATATGGGGGGTGTCCTCCGGGGGGAACTCATCTGGTACATCCTCAACACCACCATCTTCCCGTACTGCATGATTCTGTTCTTGTCTGTGCAAATATAAAATCTGATGTCGTGTGGCGCCAACAAACCTCTTTAAGTTATGCCAAGTACACTATGCTGCAAAGGCTAGTCACATGTTGAATGAAGGCTAGCAGATTGTACGTAGTGTGAATGACCTTCATAAACAAACACCCGTCACAACCAAATACCTGCATCCCAACATTATCATACACCCGTCACAAACAAATCCCCTACATCCCATCAGAAACAAACACCCGTCATAAACAAACACCCGTCATAAACAAATCCTCTACATCCCCTCATAAACAAACAGCTTACATTATGTTTTCATAAATATATCTTCTATTGAGTTCAGATACATATATAAACATTCATTGGTAGGATTGGGTTATAAATAAGATATGGTTTTATAAGTGTACAGCTACGCTCTCAAAACCCCGAGCTAACTTACATTGAATTAACACCCATCACAAGCATATACTGTCGAACCACCCGTGGGATCCCTTATTATGTCGAACTTACAGTCAGGTACCGACATACTCCTAATTATTTTCCACTCTTTTTAACCCGGTTGTGTCGATTTCCTCATTTTATAGTCCCAAGTGTTAAATATTAGGTTAAAACTTACCCTGATTAATCTAACTCAATATTTTGGAATATTGTATACAGTTATATTTACACGTCTATCAATCATGTGTAGGTATACATGAATAAAGTTATATTAACACGTCTATCAATCATGTGTAGGTATACATGAATAAAGTTATATTAACACGTCTATCTATCATGTGTAGGTATATATGAATACAGTTATATAAACGCATATCAATCATGTGTAGGTATATATGAATACAGTTATATTAACACGTCTATCAATCATGTGTAGGTATATATGAATGCAGTTACATTAACACGTCTATCAATCATGTGTAGGTATATATGAATGCAGTTATATTAACACGTCTATCAATCATGTGTAGGTATATATATATATATATATATATATATATATATATATATATATATATATATATACAGTTATATAAACGCCTATCAATCATGTGTAGGTATATATAAATGCAGTTATATTAACACGCATATCAATCATGTGTAGGTATATATGAATGCAGTTATATTAACACGTCTATCAATCATGTGTTGGTATATATGAATACAGTTATATTAACACGTCTATCAATCACTTGTAGGTATATATGAATACAGTTATATAAACGCCTATCAATCATGTGTAGGTATATATGAATACAGTTATATTAACACGTCTATCAATCATGTGTAGGTATATATGAATACAGTTTTATAAACGCCTATCAATCATGTGTAGGTATATATGAACACAGTTATATTAACACGTCTATCAATCATGTGTAGGTATATATGAATAAAGTTATATTAACACGAGTATCAATCATGTGTAGGTATATATGAATACAGTTATATAAACGCATATCAATCATGTGTAGGTATATATGAATACAGTTATATTAACACGTCTATCAAGCATCTGTAGGTATATATGAATACAGTTATATTAACACGTCTATCAATCATGTGTAGGTATATATGAATAAAGTTATATAAACGCATATCAATCATGTGTAGGTATATATGAATACAGTTATATTAACACGTCTATCAAGCATCTGTAGGTATATATGAATACAGTTATATAAACGCCTATCTATCATGTGTAGGTATATATAAATGCAGTTATATTAACACGCATATCAATCATGTGTAGGTATATATGAATGCAGGTATATTAACACGTCTATCAATCATGTGTAGGTATATATGAATACAGTTATATTAACACGTCTATCAATCATGTGTAGGTATATATGAATACAGTTATATTAACACGTCTATCAATCATATGTAGGTATATATGAATACAGTTATATAAACGCCTATAAATCATGTGTAGGTATATATGAATACAGTTATATAAACGCCTATCAATCATGTGTAGGTATATATGTATACAGTTATATTAACACGCCTATCAATCTTATGGTATATGTGTTCATGTATGTTCATGTCTGTCAAAATTATGAAAGTATATGTGCATGCTTTTTAAGCAGATGATCGTATAAGTGCAGGGTTGCGGATGGGTACAAATTAAGATTTAGCAATGTGTCTAATGCTTTGTGGTCAAAAAGTAATTGACAGAACAGATGCCTAAAAATATTCGGGGTTCACATAATTGTGTGTGCGTTTCTGATTCTGCCCCCTTTGAAGCATTATCCTCTCCTGTTTCTTGAATTGAGCGTCATGTCCCGTGCCCCTCCCCTTCGCATTCTCCTCTCCATCACCTGGTTTCTCTCTGTTAGAGAGTTCAGGAGAAAGAATTAGCGTACGTGCGCCCAAACATACACTGTAGGACCCATATGACACTTTGAGTGAGTGAGTTTGGTTGCAATATTCCAGCAATATCACGGTGGGGGACACCAGAAACGGGCTTCACACATTGTAACCATGTGGGGAATCGAACCTGGGTCTTGTGCGCGAAGAGCGACCGCTTTAACCACTAGGCTACCTCACCGCCCTATGACACTTTGAAGCGTATCTACGGGTAGCGTACAAAACGTCATTTACATGTATTTCAAGTACCGCTTCGAAATGACATACTGGATTTGTTTGGAAAAGTCACGAGCCCCAGTTATCAATCAAACATGAGTTTGCATATTAACCCCAGACTAAGATCATATATGAAATGACGATGTAGTGATCGAATCCTTTAAAAAAATACATTAGTTCCCGTAATTATTTATCTGGTAAATGTATTATTGAATTCTATCTCAGATGATATATCGGACGGGAGAGCTTAGGACGAAGCAGCGTTGTGAATGAGCACGGGTGTTGAATGATTATAAATGATCAGCATTGGACAGTCCTGATGGAATGCTGAGTGAGTGTACGGAAGGACTTTAGGTCTCAGCCCCTGCTGATTCTTAACAGAGAATTAACTATGGCTAATTTATTACCTAAATATTGTAACCTGACAAGCATGAGAAAAAAACATGACAGATTTATATGAACAAAAGACTTATGATATATGACAACAATTTGGCAACTGGGGGCAGGTATGGCATTGGGCCCTGCTCGTCACATTGAAAATACAGTGGGTTGTTTAACGCCTCATATCAATGCAACCTGCAAATAATAGAATCTTGGCCAGACAAACCAGTGTTGGGTAGTATGAACAATGTCCCTCGCCATTGGGTACAGAATTGAACTTGATTTCACTCAAGGCTACAAGACATAGCATGTTAACAGAGATCAATATAAAAACATACATGGTGGCATTATGTTCAATAATCACTTATCAACATTTGTAATAGATTAACAGAAAGGATTTCTTGTATAATAAGAATGACTATATTTTGAGCGATGAGCAACATAGGTACGATGATACCTAATCTTCCAAGTCACCGAGCCTGACCACCCGATCCATTAAATCGCCTACTGTTGACAAGCATAGGTTGCCAGGGATCTATTCTAACCCGGAATCAGGTACCTATTCTGAGAGCATGCACTATAAAATGCTTACCTTTCCATTTTGACGGTCCCAGTTGTCTAAACACGTATGCTCTGAAGTCGATCTAACATTGCCTCTTCTATGACGTCATTAGATTGTGACGTCATCGACAATCCGCGCAGTACCAAGCCCCGTTCCAGTTAAAGTTATAATGTCCTTGTGCTTTAACTATAATAGTTCAGGGTATAAGTATACTTTGTTACACTGAACATAGGGTCAGAGCAAACTTTATTACTTTTCTAAGTTGCCAAATTTAAGACTAACCTTGTGTTTCATTTGAGCTGGATTTAAAATCAAATCTGTAATGACCTGTGACGTAAACTGAAAATCTTCAAACATGGCTAACCGACGGGCTCTTCCACTCATCGCCTCCACCCTTACGTTAAGAGACGTATTTAGGTTTTGAATATAATTCAACACCACTAAAATGGATAGTTTATAATTTAAGTAGGTTATAGTTCATTATCCATTCAGTGTGTGGATCGTGGGCCAAATGTTAACGATAAAGGATATCTTAGTGGAGCTAAAATAATATCCACCATTCTAAATTGTCCTGTAGTACAGAGTGGTCTAGGGTACATTCACCACGTAGTGTCCTGTAGTACAGAATGTCTCAGGATACATTCACCACGCAGTGTCCTGTAGTACAGAGTGTCCTAGGATACATTCATCACGTAGTATCAGGTAGTTCAGAGTGTCTTACGATACATTCACCACGCAGTGTCCTGTAGTACAGAGTGTCCTAGGATACATTCACAACGCAGTGTCCTGTAGTACAGTGTCCTAGGGTACATTCACCATGCAGTGTCCTGTAGTACAGAGTGTTCTAGGGTACATTCACCACTCAGTGTCCTGTAGTACAGAGTGTTCTAGGATACATTCACCACGCAGTGTCCTGTAGTACAGAATGTCCTAGGATACATTCACCACGGAGTGTCCTGTAGTACAGAATGTCCTACGATACATTCACCACGCAGTGTCCTGTAGTACAGTGTCCTAGAGAACATTCATCGTGCAGTGTCCTGTAGTACAGAGTGTTCTAGGATACATTCACCACGCAGTGTCCTGTAGTACAGTGTCCTAGGGTACATTCACCAAGCAGTGTTCTGTAGTACAGTGTCCTAGGGTACATTCACCATGCAGTGTCCTTTAGTACAGAGTGTCCAAAGGTACATTCACCACGCAGTGTCCTGTAGTACAGAGTGTCCTAGGGTACATTCACCACGCAGTGTTCTGTAGTACAGTGTCCTAGGGTACATTCACCATGCAGTGTCCTTTAGTACAGAGTGTCCAAGGGTACATTCACCACGCAGTTTCCTGTAGTACAGAGTGCCCTAGTATACATTCACCACGCAGTTTCCTGTAGTACAGAGTGTTCTAGGATACGTTCACCACGCAGTGTCTTGTAGTACAGAGTGTCCTAGGGTACATTCATCATGCAGTGTCCTTTAGTACAGTGTCCTAGGGTACATTCACCACGCAGTGTCCTGTAGTACAGAGTGTTCTAGGATACATTCACCACGTAGTATCCTGTAGTTCAGAGTGTTCTAGGATACATTCACCACGCAGTTTCCTGTAGTACAGAGTGTCCTAGGATACATTCACCACGTAGTATCCTGTAGTTCAGAGTGTCCTAGGATACATTCACCACGCAGTGTCCTGTAGTTCAGTGTGTCCTAGGATACATTCACCACGCAGTGTCCTGTAGTACAGAGTGTCCTAGGATACATTCACCACGCAGTGTCCTGTAGTACAGTGTCCTAGGGTACATTCACCATGCAGTGTCCTGTAGTTCAGAGTGTCCTAGGATACATTCACCACGCAGTGTCCTGTAGTTCAGTGTGTCCTAGGATACATTCACCACGCAGTGTCCTGTAGTACAGTGTCCTAGGGTACATTCACCACGCAGTGTCCTGTAGTACAGTGTCCTAGGGTACATTCACCATGCAGTGTCCTGTAGTACAGAGTGTTCTAGGGTACATTCACCACGCAGTGTCCTGTAGTACAGATTGTTCTAGGATACATTCACCGAGCAGTGCCCTGTAGTACAGAATGTCCTAAGATACATTCACCATGCAGTGTCCTGTAGTACAGTGTCCTAGGGTACATTCACCACGCAGTGTCCTGTAGTACAGATTGTTCTAGGATACATTCACCACGCAGTGTCCTGTAGTACAGAATGTCCTAGGATACATTCACCACGCAGTGTCCTGTAGTACAGAGTGTCCTAGGGTACACTCACCACGCAGTGAAGGCCTCAATGTTTAATTTATACCTAGTAGCCATATGGCTATAAGCATTTTATTCCAGGTAGCCACTGGTAAAATCAGTGTAAGTGTACTTATGGTAACTTCATGGCTGAAACAGGCGTCGTCGTATAGCATGAAGGTAAAAATAAATACAAAAGATATACAGGTTTATTTCATTTATATGCAAGTACGCATAAAGTAAACATTAAGAGCAAATTGGGTTTAAAATAAAATCACATTATGTACAATTGATCTCTTTTCTTGTATAAAAGTCTTATGAAAGTATGTGGACATTTCCATCTCGACACACATCTACAACTCCCCCTCCTCCTCTTCCTCCTCCTCCTCAATCACATCGACTCCCCAAACAGTGACACGTGACCATTTGGTCAGAAACTGGGTTTGGTGCATTCGGTTGCAGCATTTGAGTGTCCATAATATCAGGAATGTCTACACATCCAAACTCAGCGTCCACGGACCGAGAGAGGCGACGGTTGCTTCTCCGCCATGCACGGTTGTGTGTTTTGCCGAACGTCTTCCACAGGTAGTAGACACTGGCCAATACAGCTGAAATAGAAACATGGGGTGACTACAGCTGAACTAAAACAATATGTCTTTGAGGAAAACAGATTGATAAGCTGTCAACATCAGATATATATTTCAGATAAATGTAACAATCTGTGGTTATTTCTATTCATCATATGATTTCATATAAGACGTTTTATGATAAAGCATACATACAGAACTATTTTTGATATGGAGAGTGGGTAAGAGGATGGTTATATTTATGAAATATAATACGTAAGACGGGAAGATTAAACAAAATCAGCCTACCGATTGCTGCCATTATTGTGAGAGCGACAACATAGATCTTGCCAGGGCAAAACCACGAGATATCTGCAAAATAAAAGTGACCTATTACTTCAGTAGTCCTACAATGGCGCACTGGTTCATCGTAGATGATGGTTAACAGTAATTTTAGTCATATTTGATTTCGATATTTGACATAGACATATATCAAATAGCTTTAGACTAACATCAGTTGTTTGCTTGTGGTATATAAAGAGGATATACTCACCACGGAAAGAAACATAGGAGGTGACACCAGCTGACGAGGCTGTTGTGCTGAAACTGAGGACGGATTTTCATGAAAAAGGTCAAGTTGATTGTTGAGTATGTATATTGTTATAAGAATGTCAATTAACATTTTAGGTGCAAATGATTAGTCATGACAAGCTGTTGTGTTGACATTATTGGAACAAAAGATGTCGATTTGATTCTGTCACAACAAATTTACAACATCGTCTCCCTTCTCACAAAGCTGTGACGTTTAGTTGTGACTAAGAGTCAAGAGACAATTAAAGGTTCCTAATGATAATTTGCATACATTGTTCGATTCCATGTAAAGATAAGGTTATCTCACCTGGGATGCCCTGGTACAGTCCAGATGGGAGACATGTTGATGGACAAAATGACGGAGAAAACGAAGAGCGTGAAAATTTAGCACCAAGTGATAGAAAGTGATTGTCATGATTATGACGTCATTGAACTTAGTTACCATTGTGACGTAAAATACAACAAAAGTGACGTCATATGTTTATGTGTCTATGACGTGACTGATAATTGCCATTTTTGAGAGAGTTCCTTGTGGTCAGTGATACAGCAGACGCCATCCTATCTGCCTTAGCGATAAGATTGTCGTATTTCAAAGGTGTCGCGGCGCAAAATCTAGACTTAGTCCCCAAAATACAGTTATCTCATTTAAGAACATATATCCACAAACTACAAAGTAATATTCAAATAGAGCCCAGAAAAATGGTACATTTCAGGAGCTGATGCATGCAAGATTTGCCTTATCTTTCTGGACTGAGTTGGATTCCATATTTAATATATTCTCTCTGGGTTATCTTAGTTCACCACAAACATTAAAACAGTCGGACCTTATATCTCTGTGTTCAGGTCGTAGAGTGTTTACAATTCACGTCTACTTCACTGCCTCGGGTATTTTCCATCAGAGAAAAAAATATAGTGGTTGGTATTTGATATAAAAATAATCTTATATGGTTCTTCTTATTCTGTCCTTGGCGGAGAAAGATTTATATATTTTTTTCACCAGGCAGATATGGACCAGACAATCTAGGGATTAATATCATGAGCATCGATTCACGCAATTTGGATCGATGACATGCATCAACCAAGTCAGCGAGCCTGACCACCCGATCCCGTTAGTTGCCTCTTACGACATGCATAGTCGCCTTTTACGGTGAGCATGGGTTGCTGAAGACCTATTCTACCCCGGATCTTCACGGGTCGTCTTGATAGGTGTGGTATATAGACCATGGTTCGGGTATGATCCTTCACAAGCACAGCCAGGCTATGGCTAGGTATAATGCTACACAACGGCAGCCAGGCTATGGTTCGGGTATGATGCAATACCAGTACAGCCAGGCTGTGGTTCGGGTAGGATGCTACACCAGGGCAGCCAGACCAGTTTATTCTACGTCAGGTAAAGAAAAGGCACAATTCCGGAACATAACGTAAACATGTGCAAACATACCAGTAAATGTGCTGAAAGTACCTTTTGTTATTTATAGGTTTCTTAAAGATTACTTTTTGCGTTTCCAAGGCATTAGGTTGGACACCAAGGCTGGGTTGATTTCGAGTCAAAGTTAATTTTAAAACTTTGCCTAAAAAAACAGACAAACTATGCTATTCGCATGTTTAATTGATCGTGTGTGAACACATGTTAAAGTCTTAGTTTTCACTTCTTTTCGACCTCTCACAGTTGTACAAATGCCGTTGAATCCTACGTGAGTTTGGTTGAACGCCGCTCTGAACAGTATGTCTGTTAAGTCACGGTGTGTCAGCTTGATGTGGGAGGAAAATGCATGTCTTTGACGTTTACCGGGCCACTTTGGTAAAACCCACGAGCTCTCGCATTGTGCTGACAAACGTGGAACCATGGATTTCAAACTATGATCACAGGACTCTGCGACGCCTAAAGAATTGCACAGCGGATCGCTGCCCCTCAGACAGCTGGGCCGGCGATGCCCCCGGACGCCGTGGCAATAACAGCTGCATGGAAGAGTCGGAACAGGGCACAGACATCAGCAACGACTACCTCATTTTGTTTGTTTGTTGTCCAAGACTGCACTCAGCAATACTCCATCTATATGACAGCGGTCTGTAAATAATCGAATCTGGGACAGACAATCCGGTGATTGACATCATGCACCCATGTCCTATTATAGTGTAATATTATACTGCTCAACAGTAGTTAAGTACCACTCTATTCTTTCATATCCGTGCTGTATGCGGTCGAGCGTTGTCCTGCTGAAATACACCGTTGCCGTTGGCTGCAATTGGGAGGACGTGTGGTAGGAGAATTTTGTTGATGTATCGCTGAACCGTAAGATGAGAGATTGCCATGATGAGAGATAGCCGCCCACATCATCGCTACCCCAACCAAACCTGTCAACTTCCTCTACGCAATTTCTGGCTTAACGTTCTTCCCGACGTCCGTAGACCCGTGCTCTTCCATCCCCTCGATTCGTCGCTGAACCAGACATCTCTCAATCGCAGTTGAGGCCATACCCAGTGTTGATGACACCAATGTAGTCGTTGTTGACGATGTTCTCGACTCAATATGACGCGTCGAACAGGACGCTCGTAGACCTGCTTTTCTTAAACGGTTTCGTACGGTCTGGTCGGAGATTATGCGCAGTCCGGGTATTTGGGATGCGGTTGAGGTGGCTGTGACCATCCTTGACGCAGGTGGCGCAGTCGGATGTAGCGATCTTGAGCGGGGGGGTCGGTTACTCTTTGTCGTCCCGACCTTGGCCGATCACGTGTTGACCCATGCTGTTGAAACCGATCCCATAGTCTTGTGATGGTGCTGGGCGCTAAATTGAAAATCCTGGCTACAGCTGATCGGGATTCCCCTGCCTGCAAGCGGCGTTGTTTCTTTGCACTTCTGATAATCTTGGCATGTGTTGAACTGTCACTGATCGATTGACGCATATGCCACGCAATCAAAAACCCTGCACTTTAATACCGTGCATAGTGCTGCTGCACGTGCAGTACGTGCAGCTCCATGGCCCTTTTGTTAATGCACTGGGTGCGTTTTTACGAATCGTACGTTTTTCCCGACTAATGGTTTGCATGTCCTTGTTGTGATCACTTTGATCCCGGAAATTTGTCACTGACACTGTAGCACATTAAACCTCTTCATTTTGCACATCTTGGTCCGCTAATTTTGCTTTTATGGCCAAGAGAATCCGTATTGCATTTCTTTTTTGAAGATTATATTTCTATAGATTGTGTCATATTACTGTAGTTGGTCTAACTGTAGTAATATGAAAGAATTATTACATTATACATGCAAAACTAAATCCCTTGTTATATTCAACCTTGTGTCTTACTTTCAAGCACTATATGTTTCAGCTGGGCCTTCTGAAATAGCATATACTTTGCATAAAAAGAAACGCAAATGTAGTAAAATCGTAAATATCTGACAGTGTTGCTGACATCCATACAAAATTTATACCAAAAATGAATTGGTCATTTCTGCATGGATTGGGCTTAATTTGTGTTGAAAGAATGAAGTACTGCAGAAATTTGGTGAAAAGATGAAAAAATCTCAAAAACACAACCACGTGAGAACCTGGCGCCGAAACACCCCAACATGACATGCACATGTACCTTGGTGGGCTGTAAAAACATTGGATTTTCATTTGCATGCCATCACAATCTTACAGCAAGTAAACAGCAAAAATGTCAAGACTGACGGAAGCCAAACTCAACATCGGCCGACTGCAAACAGGAGATCCCCCTCCAGCTGTAGCCCAGGGTTTCCACGCAGCACCAACACCATTACAAGACTGTGGAACCGTTAGCAGTTATCAGACTCCCCAGATCTCTTTACCGTGTAATCACAACTAGAGAACAGAACAGATTCATACGGCTACGTCGCTTACATGATAGAACCACCACGGCCACCTCTACAACTACGGCAATACAAGGATTGCGTAGAATATCCGCCCAGGCAGTGAGGGTGCATTTACGTGCTGATGTTTTCTCGCTAGACGACCAGTTCAAGGTGTCATGTCCACAACTGCGATTGAGACAAGTTTGGTTTAGTTTGGTCCCGTTTCATGCTTCGCTGTGTGATGGTAGACGTCATGCACGAAACTGCATGCAGGCAGTGGACAGATTTGGTGGTGGCAATGTGATGATATGGGCAACTATCTCCTACACTGATAGAACAGACTTGGTGCAAGTTCTGGGGAATTTAACAGCACAATGTTACATGGATAGATTCTTCCGCCACGCGTCCTTCCCATTAAGCAACAAGTGAACATCATTTTCCAACAAGACAACGTCCGACCTCACATGGCAAGACTGACAACAGCATTTTTGAGGAATCACAACATCTTTGTCCTGCAATGCCATCTTTGTCCTGCCATTTATGGGATACACTCGATCAACGACTGCGAGCACGTCAGCAACATCCACAGAACCTCCGACCGTTGGCACAATCACTTCAGGCAGAGTGGGTGAACATTCCCCGGGCCACAATTCGTGACTTGATTGCTTCCACAGGACGACGATGCCAGTCAGTTTTGGGCTCTAATGGTGGCCATACAACATGTTGAGAACAGATGACCTTCATCTTGAAAATCTACTGTTCCATGTGTGCCATATGAGACTGGGTCAATGACAATGTGTGCCAATTTTGAACAATCGATTACCATCTGTTGACTATTTAAATAAAAAATAAATATACATCTAAAATCACTTTTGAGTATCTTTTTTAGCAGATTATATTTACACTTACAAGCAAAACCTTAGGTCTTCCGGCTTTCCTTGGTCTATGGCTTCATCCGTTCTGAAAATTTAGCTACAGACAAAACAGTACAACTACCTGGTCACAACTTGTCCCATCTACTTTGCTACTATATACACCAGAATTACACTCAATCAGTCTGTTGTACCGGTGCTATCTCACAAAACACACCACTTTTATATTTATCTTTTTGTAAACTGTAATGAGTTCTGTTTTTAGCCTACGTGCATACCCTTGCCTCAAACCTAACACAAAAGCAACATAGATTTTGAGGTACAACAGTGACAAGTAGGAGGTGAGGTTCTGAGACAACAGTGGACAGGTCAAACTGTCAGGCCTCTGTACAAGACCACTTTTCATGGAATCTCTCCGTCACTTTATCCTTCTGTTATGGTGGGACTAACATTCAGGACTCGGGACTTGCTTGTAAGACAAAATACTGATTTACCATGTCAATAGTGTTCCTTACTCTCACAGGCCATCCCACATTTTATACTAGTGAGTGAGTATGGATGTACGTCACTTTTAGCAATATTCCAGCAATAACACAGCAGGGGACACCAGAAATCGGCGTCAACCTAGCAAGTGACTTAGTTCAAATGAGCCTTTGTTCGTCCAGCAGAGAATGGGTACCCGAAATGTGAGATGGATGTGAAAACCCTCTAGCGCCCATAGGCAGCTTGCGTGAAATACTACCCAGGGAGTTGAAAATGATGACTGGAATGGATATGGATCCATGGGTTGGGTACAAATAAACCACATTTGAGCAGATAAGTGTATCTAGATAGTTTGGTTGGTTGGTTGTTTTTTGTTGTTGTTTAGTGCCGCACTCAGCAATATTCCAGCTTTATGACGGCGATCTGTAAATAATCAATTCTGGACCAGACAATCCAGTGATTGATATCATGAGCATCAAGCCATGCAATTGGGATACGATGACATGTTTCAATCAAGTCAGCAAGTCTGACCACCCGATTCCGCTAGTCGCCTCTTACGACAAGCATGGGTTGCTGAAGACCTATTCTACCCCAGTTCTTCATGGGTCGTATCTGGATAGGTGTGGTATATACATGTATAATATAATTCAACACTTCCGTGACCAATCAAGTACACTCTGCAGTCTTGCTTCAACTCTGGTTTATTACAGTACTTTATAATTACAATAAACATTTTAGACATTGTGACATATCTATTAAAAGACATGGTCTAATCATGGCCAGATTGGTCCAAAAATGTTATATTATTTAAGGCAGGTCCTCTGTATACATGTATACTGACCCAATAAAGTTTTGAACAGTTGTGTGACTGTTCCTTACTGTATGACGCCATTGTCTGCATGTCGAAGTCACGACTGTCCTCATATAGTCCTTGACACCAACAAATAAACACACACACACTCACAGCCACACACACTCTCACCTCTCCCATACCCACAATCAGTTTGCTAGTACCCCTGTGTGAGGACAAACACACTCACTCACACTCATTCTATGTATGCTGGTGTCTGGGTCCGATGCAAAGCATCTTTTTTCTGTGTGGAATATTGAGGTCATGTCCCAGCGTGTTGGTCATCATTACCTGTGAAGACAACATCAGGAAGAGTGATGAACTGATAAACCATAAGGCATGAACGCCTGAACTGACAAAAAACACAGACAAATATTGCACAAGAGCTGAGATTATTAACCAATTTGAGAAGCTATCAGCAAAGTGTAATTCAAAATTACTACGACAAGTATACTGTCTTGGTAAATCATGTTACATATCACCAAGTAAAACTATAGTGTTGTGATATGTTTACACTTCGCATACACAACCAGCAGTAAACAGCATGGGATTAGTCGGCTTCAAAGAATTTATGTATATGGCTGGTACATGTATATCGACGTGTATGATTGTCTTGTTTGTTGGTTTACTTGTTTAACGCCGCACTCGGCACTATTCCAGCTGTATGATGGCGGTCTGAAACATAATCGAGTCAGGACCAGACAATCCAGTGATCATGAGCATCTATCCACACAATTGGGATATGATGACATGCATCAACCAAGTCAGTGAGCCTGACCACCCGATCCCGTTAGTCGCCTCTTACGACAAGCATAGTCGCCTTTCAGCATGGGTTGCTGAAGACCTATTGTCCCACGGATCTTCTTGAGGTGTATGAATGATTCAATGATGTGTGTGGCTGTGGATGAAACAATGAGCATATTGTTGTATTCAGGAGTGAATGCCATATGCCTCATGTATGTTCCTGGATTAGATCTTCATCACCATGCACCTGACACGTACCACTGAAGATCATGTGCAGCTGATGTTTTGTCTGTAATGACTAGCTGTCAGACACTACTTACTGTATGAAGACACTTTCTGGGCACACTTGTTGAACTGGTCAAACTGAGGCCGGCAGTGCTCACTATGTATTGGGTTGGCCACCACACATGACTCATACTTCTCAAACTGAGAGGCACAGACTGTCTTGATCTTCTTAATGGTAGGCCTGTAACATAGTCACAGGTGTTAGCCTGTTATAGTCACAGGTGTTAGCCTGTAACATAGTCACAGGTGTTAGCCTGTAACATAGTCACAGGTGTTAGCCTGTAATAGTCACAGGTGTTAGCCTGTAACATAGTCACAGGTGTTAGCCTGTAATAGTCACAGGTGTTAGCCTGTAACATAGTCACAGGTGTTAGCCTGTAACATAGTCATAGGTGTTAGCCTGTAATAGTCACAGGTGTTAGCCTGTAACATAGTCACAGGTGTTAGCCTGTAATAGTCACAGGTGTTAGCCTTTAACATAGTCACAGGTGTTAGCCTGTAACATAGTCACAGGTGTTAGCCTGTAATAGTCACAGGTGTTAGCCTTTAACATAGTCACAGGTGTTAGCCTGTAACATAGTCACAGGTGTTAGCCTGTAATAGTCAGAGGTGTTATAGTCTGTAACAGTCACCGGAGTTATAGCCTGTAACACAGTCACAGGTGTTAGCCTGTAACAGTCACAGGTGTTAGTTTGTAACAGTCACAGGTGTTGGTCTGTATCACAGGCACAGGTGGTAGTCTTTAATAGTCATCGGTGTTAGTCTGTAACACAGGCACAGGTGTAAGTTAGTGTGCAAGACATTTTGTCCCTGATTACGAGTGACTGACTACAAAACCATAGTGCCAGTAGGGAAAATCCGGCTACACATTGTAACCATCTGATCCTCATTCAAATGGCTCTTAAGGCTAGCACTGGGAATCTGTTCTGCCATGCAATCCTGACAGAATCTGTCCTTTTTCACTTTTGTCCAAATGTAATCACATAGTTTTTAACCGAAGTGATGCAGGTCTCAGACGTTTACCACTTCGGTGAAACCCACAAGCACCGGTATGGTGCTGACAAAACTAGAAACATAATCGGGGCGAACCTGGGTTCGAACTCACAATCATAGGTTTCTGGCGTGCCCAAGGGACACAACTCTGCACAGCAAATCGCGGCGCCTTAGACGACTGGGCCACCCATGCCCCCAGCCCAATAATTGCCCTTAATCTGTGTGTGAATGTCACTTCTCCTTGGAAGTCAATACAAGAATAGCGCCGACAACGTACTCAGTCTCAGCACAGCTGGCTAGTTTCAGCTTTTGCTTGTTGCAGTCCAGGTGCCAGGTGTCGGGGAAGTTGCTGATGCAGGTGGCGTAGGTGTTGAGGTAGCGGCCACACTGGCGCTCCACCAGTTGCATGGAGGCATTCCTGGTCAAAACAGTATACAAACTTAGTAACATTCAAAGCCACTTTTCTATATTAAAGACAAATATATTTTTAATGAAGCGCTATCAACATAATCAACAATTCAGAGTCGTGTCACCCTGATCATGGTGACAGGCATCATTCTTGGTTCAGGCTCATTCCTTCTGCTGGTTTGGAGAAGCTGAAAGTATCAGACAGAGGATGACAGATGATGTACAACATGCCATGCCGTAACCTCACTTGGACAGTCAATCCTGATGAGCTAAATAGAATGGCTAAAGACCCTGCAAATCTACAGTTCAGCTCCCTATTCGGCCACACAATCTAGGTCCACAGTAATAACATGATACCTGTAAGCCGACCCTGTCACTGAGGATATGATACTACAAGTTGTCAACTGATCTTGAGTCATATATGGTGTGATGTACCCTGTGTGTGAGCCTATGTAACCTGTGTGTGAGCCCATGTACCCTGTGTGTGAGCCTAAGTACCCTGTGTGTGAGCCCATGTACCCTGTGTGTGAGCCTATGTACCCTGTGTGTGAGCCCATGTACCCTGTGTGAGCCCATGTACCCTGTGTGTGAGCCTATGTACCCTGTGTGTGAGCCTAAGTACCCTGTGTGTGAGCCCATGTACCCTGTGTGTGAGCCTAAGTACCCTGTGTGTGAGCCCATGTACCCTGTGTGTGAGCCCATGTACCCTGTGTGTGAGCCTATGTACCCTGTGTGTGAGCCCATGTACCGTGTGTGAGTGAGTGAGTGAGTGAGTGAGTGAGTGAGTGAGTATGGTTTTACGCCACTTTTAGCAATATTCCAGCAATATCACAGCGGGGGACACCAGAAATGGGCTTCACACATTGTACCCATGTCGGGAATCGAACCCTGGTCTTTGGCGTGACAAGCGAATGCTTTAACCACTAGGCTACCCGACCATCCCCCTGTGTGTGAGCCTATGTACCCTGTGTGTGAGCCTATGTACCCTGTGTGAGCCTATGTACCCTGTGTGTGAGCCCATGTACCCTGTGTGTGAGCCCATGTACCCTGTGTGTGAGCCTATGTACCCTGTGTGTGAGCCCATGTACCCTGTGTGTGAGACCATGTACCCTGTGTGAGCCTATGTATCATGCGTGAGCCTATGTACCCTGTGTGTGAGCCTATTTACCCTGTGTGTGAGCCTATGTACCGTGTGTGAGCCCATGTACCCTGTGTGTGAGCCCATGTACCCTGTGTGTGAGCCCATGTACCCTGTGTGTGAGCCTATGTACCCTGTGTGTGAGCCCATGTACCCTGTGTGTGAGCCTATGTACCCTGTGTGAGCCTGTGTACCCTGTGTGAGAGCCTATGTACCCTGTGTGAGCCTATGTACCCTGTGTGTGAGCCTATTTACCCTGTGTGTGAGCCTATTTACCCTGTGTGTGAGCCTATGTACCGTGTGTGAGCCCATGTACCCTGTGTATGAGCCTATGTACCCTGTGTGTGAGCCCATGTACCCTGTGTGAGCCTATGTACCCTGTGTGTGAGCCTATGTACCCTGTGTGAGTCCATGTACCCTGTGTGTGAGCCCATGTACCCTGTGTGTGAGCCCATGTACCCTGTGTGTGAGCCCATGTACCCTGTGTGTGAACCCATGTACCCTGTGTGTGAGCCCATGTACCCTGTGTATGAGACCATGTACCCTGTGTGTGAGCCTATGTACCCTGTGTATGAGCCTATGTACCCTGTGTGAGCCTGTGTACCCTGTGTGATAGCCTATGTACCCTGTGTGAGCCCATGTACCCTGTGTGAGCCTATTTACCCTGTGTGTGAGCCTATGTACCGTGTGTGAGCCCATGTACCCTGTGTATGAGCCTATGTACCCTGTGTGTGAGCCCATGTACCCTGTGTGAGCCTATGTACCCTGTGTGTGAGCCTATGTACCCTGTGTGAGTCCATGTACCCTGTGTGTGAGCCCATGTACCCTGTGTGTGAGCCCATGTACCCTGTGTGTGAGCCCATGTACCCTGTGTGTGAACCCATGTACCCTGTGTGTGAGCCCATGTACCCTGTGTATGAGACCATGTACCCTGTGTGTTAGACTATGTACCCTGTGTGTGAGCCTATGTACCCTGTGTGTGAGCCTATGTAGCCTGTGTGAGCCTATGTATCATGCGTGAGCCTATGTACCCTGTGTGTGAGCCCATGTACCCTGTGTGTGAGCCTATGTACCCTGTGTGTGAGCCTATGTTCCCTGTGTGGAACACAGGTACACTACACCTTATGCCCCTAGGGATAGGTTGACAACAAATTTATCTCACCAACATTTATTCCTACAGATCCGGAATATGTCCAAAGTTTCACTGAGTAAAACACTTTGAATCAGACATTTTGACACCTAGCAGACGAAGGAAACAAACTGAGTTACTTCCCTTAACCAATGCATTTGGATAAACATCAGTTTATTTCAGCTCAACGATACTTATGAGAGATAAGCAAGTTACCTAAGGTGCGTTATGATTGATTTCTCAGCGGGGTACATTGGGCTACATGAAAAATAATTACCCAAATAATTAACTAATCAGAAGCTAGTATTTAAATGTAAGGTGAGATAAATCCTGTTGTACATGAAACCAAACAAGAAATGATCACCATAATCACCTACATTTTGTCCAAGTCCAGTTCCTTCAGCTGAATACACGAGCTGTCACATTTCAACTCTGCATCCTTGTACCTGCATACATGGATTGAAAGATGATAATCAGCATAATGATGATACAGGTCAGAGACTTTCACAATATTTTGGTGAATCCAAAAATCAAGGGTCATCAGGGTGATAACCAGTGCAGGTCTCTGAATTGAACCCACAATCAGCTGATCCTGGCAGGACTAAGACATGTAACTTTCTTCATCATATTCCTGAGCCTTGAGTAAATAAAACTAACTAAAGTGCGGAATATGTTTTGTTTCTACCGACTTTCAAAAATACATGTATACTGCAACTGCAATAATAAAGTATGCGATTCTACACTGTCAAATATTCAAGACATGAATTTCAGAAATAATAAATTCTGTAAAAAATAATCAGCTTGGTCTTTTTATTATGCATCAAACTGGACAAAATGTGTAATGAATATTTGGGCTGGGAAGGGTAACTCGGGAACTCGGATCAGGTGGGTACCGAGCAGGACCCAGGTACCAACAGGACTACCCGGACATGTGGTTAATCACGTGATATATTGTTTAATGGCAAAAATTATCTAGAACTCTATGGTTACACTATAAGTGACTAATGTTTGCATTTCTTTCTGACTATGTGCCGCTCCTTTGGACTTTATATGTTTGAATAAAGATAAAACTTCTCTCAACTTCAGTTTATGCATGGCCAAATCGTTTTAAACGAGTATCTAAATATATTTTGCCAGGGCTACGGTCAAACTATCCCCAAAAGGACATTTGAACCTATCTCTGAGACCTACAGCGGGTACCCGGGTAGGGTCGGGTAAAAGGGTGGTGGGTACCCGGGTAGTAAATTTGGACTCGTCCAAGCCCTAATGAATATCACATCTAGTTCTCTATAATGCAGCATGTATCATATCATAATACATGTTGAAGAAGCTGCCTTTAGAAGCATGTCTCTGACGCTCAGCTTCATCTGTTCAAAGTAAACATAACTGATAACTGACGCTGCTGGCTGTTATGTAAAAGCATGCAATTGTGTAATGTCATCATCAACTGACCGCCGTGTTTTGCCTTACACTTTCTGAACTCAAGATTCCTTATCCACAACAGAAACACATGTTTTGCACGTCGGAGAAAATTACATGAAACAGCCGAGTTGTTGATCACTTCAATGATAAAAATATATAAATTAGAATAATAACATTTTACTAAATAGTCAATGATGCAATCATTCAAGTCCCAAATTAGACGTGATTTTGAATTCATTATCAACTTTCATGGAATTGTAACCGGGGAAAACATTTGCTGCGGAATATGAGACTTCAAGATGGCTGCGCCCTTAAATGACGAGATCCAATCTGTTTCCTACTATAATATTCGACATGTATCATTGCATGGCTATGTTGCGCCCTTTATTTTCATTTATATAGCTTGGTTTTATACGTGGGCTAATGTCTATGGAATTCAGGATTACTACGAGGGCGGTTTGATAGCTTTGGCAATTATCGGCTTGGTGCAGATTCTGACGGCGTTGTTTTGTTTGTGGTCGATTCATGTGAGATGTGCACTCACATGTTCTAAAGTAAGACATGATACTGATTTACAGTAATACTCGTTCAGTTTCTATCGGTATATTTTCTAACCTCAGAGATATATCAGATAGCTCAATTAATGTGACATTTAAAGATTTGATTTTGCACCTTCATGAAATTAATGGGATACCATATGGTGAGGGGTCGATCGTTAGTCATTGATTACCATTGGTTTTGGGTTGGTCCTCCTCAGGGTGACAATGTGTTCATTTTGAGTAATATCAAACTGAAATATTAAATCATGAAAATTTAAAATTCTTTCGAAATTAAAGTGTATGGCAAATATCCTAAGAAGTATGTTACTTGTGCCTTAGGGCAGTTTTCGAATCATTGGTTCCAAATTTGTCCCACACTTTCTTAAGAGGTGCAGTTTGAGGCTGGATATGTATGTCCAAGATTCAGTCACTGCTACTTGCTTGTTGCATTTTGTCAGTTATCAAGCATGTCAAACCTGTTAAATGGTCTTTCACCATGATCATTTTCATCATATGTTTCTGGCGGTAGTTTGACTGAAAGAAAATACAACTGACCTCCAATTGGAAATGATTAAACTTGTATGTACCTGTATGGAACATCCAGCCTCAGCATTTAACTGACCATTTCAATAATTAAACATCAGACCTCTTGTACTAACCTATTCTTACTCGTGTTAATGTACTTAATCAACGTGATCAATGTTTTGACAGGAAACCAGTCCGTTCAAGGCGTCCTGGGTGAAGGTTGTGCCAACACCAAACAATGGATCTACAGAACTTATTCGACTGCATCACCAAAAGGTAAAGAAGGATGATTTTACAAACAAAGTCTTTGAACTTAGTCAGATGTTGAATAATAAACTGGTATGTCATGTCTCTGTGTGGGTAGCTTTTGTACGTGATTGATGTGGAGCCATGGGCATGATGAACAATGATGAGTATTAAGTACTTGAACATGTTGAATGGAAATCTATCTGTTAAGATCATATTCACTTGAAGGTCTGATTTCAGCTTTCCTTATTCTTTCCGAGGAACTACACCATGCTACACTTTGAACACTTGTTGAAAGGATAAGGAAGTTGATATCTGAATGGCAACTCTGTCTTCATTGATACTAAAGCTTCTAAAGTGCCACTTAAATTAAAAGGCTAGTTCTCACCTGCGATTCTCATAGAGATTGATAATCGTTAACTAAATATCGATCAATTATCGATAAATATCGGACAATGAATGTGCAAAAAAATCCGAAAGAAATCAACATACTTCATGCTACTGGTGGGTGGTGACACATATATGCACGGATTACTTTGTGGACATTAAGCTATGACAAAAACAGTTGCTTTCTGTCTTTGTCAATTGACATGATTGACAATAACAAGTCTGTATTGGTAAATTTAAATTTTATTTCAACATATTTGTTTTTCTAAGATTTTATCGAAGACACAATTTTCATATCAATAATCGTTAATATTTATTCCCATCAGCAATAATTCTGATTATCAATCTTTTAAGCCAAACATGGCAAGTAAGTTGATTGATTGTCATTATGGACATTGTACTGTTATTGAATTGATTCCAAGCCCTTGATCAAGTCCTTGCTAAACATGCTAAATGTGTGTGAAAATGCATAAATATTCCAAGAAACCCCTTTTGATATTTTGAGCTGCATTGGACGTAATATTATCCCTCATGTTAAGATTGATGCTGTGCTGCAAGTATTCTGTCTCAGTATCCCTCATGTTAAGATTGATACTGTGCTGCAAGTATTCTGTCTCAGTATCCGTCATGTAAAGATTGATACTGTGCTGCAAGTATTCTGTCTCAGTATCCCTCATGTTAAGATTGATACTGTGCTGCAAGTATTCTGTCTCAGTATCCGTCATGTTAAGATTGATACTGTGCTGCAAGTATTCTGTCTCGGTATCCATCATGTTAAGATTGATTCTGTGCTGCCAGTATTCTGTCTCAGTATCCGTCATGTTAAGATTGATACTGTGCTGCAAGTATTCTGTCTCAGTATCCGTCATGTTAAGATTGATACTGTGCTGCCAGTATTCTGTCTCAGTATCCGTCATGTTAAGATTGATACTGTGCTGCCAGTATTCTGTCTCAGTATCCGTCATGTTAAGATTGATACTGTGCTGCCAGTATTCTGTCTCAGTATCCGTCATGTTAAGATTGATACTGTGCTGCCAGTATTCTGTCTCAGTATCCGTCATGTTAAGATTGATACTGTGCTGCCAGTATTCTGTCTCAGTATCCCTCATGTTAAGATTGATACTGTGCTGCCAGTATTCTGTCTCAGTATCCATCATGTTAAGATTGATACTGTGCTGCCAGTATTCTGTCTCAGTATCACTCATGTTAAGATTGATACTGTGCTGCAAGTATTCTGTCTCAGTATCCATCATGTTAAGATTGATACTGTGCTGCAAGTATTCTGTCTAGGTATCCATCATGTTAAGATTGATACTGTGCTGCAAGTATTCTGTCTCAGTATCCATCATGTTAAGATTGATACTGTGCTGCAAGTATTCTGTCTAGGTATCCATCATGTTAAGATTGATACTGTGCTGCAAGTATTCTGTCTCAGTATCCATCATGTTAAGATTGATACTGTGCTGCCAGTATTCTGTCTCAGTATCCGTCATGTTAAGATTGATACTGTGCTGCAAGTATTCTGTCTCAGTATCCGTCATGTTAAGATTGATACTGTGCTGCAAGTATTCTGTCTAGGTATCCATCATGTTAAGATTGATACTGTGCTGCAAGTATTCTGTCTCAGTATCCATCATGTTAAGATTGATACTGTGCTGCCAGTATTCTGTCTCAGTATCCCTCATGTTAAGATTGATACTGTGCTGCCAGTATTCTGTCTCAGTATCCCTCATGTTAAGATTGATACTGTGCTGCAAGTATTCTGTCTAGGTATCCATCATGCATGTCATTGCAAGTAGACAGGGTAGAGGTGTTCAGTAATACAGGTATACCACGATTTGAAAAAATCATGCAAAAGTCCATCTGCTTGGAAAAGTTTACATAAGTGACAACAATGGATTTAATGATTTGAAATGATGAAATTAGCAACTGTTTTCTCTTATCGAAAAAGTGTTTTGAGACCAGTTTCCTGTATAGAATCTGTCTATAACAGATCTGTTGTGACCATATCCACAATAACAAGATGCGAAGTTGTCAAAAATATGCAGGGAAGTTCATAAATTACAGATGGAAGAATGCATGCATACATTGTAGTACGTATCCCTGTACATGAATCATTATTGTAATAAATTGCAATAAGAAATTGTAAGTATTGACTAATTGTAAGTATTAAATAGAATCATGTTGCACTACACTTAATTTGCCTTCAAACAATGAACATGATGCAGCCGATTAAACGAGTAGTAAGTAATTTATTTTAGCAAGTGCCTTGTCCTGGATCAATATTGAAAAAAATATACTACTCAAAAGAAGTTAAGGAACACACAATTCTTACATGTGGCTATCGAGTTAATCTGTCATGGCATGAGAGATTAGCTGTAGCCATTTGAAAGAATTGGATGTTCCTTAACTTCTTTTGAGTAGTATATATCGACGCATGAAAACTCATGATGCACAGGTGCACCGATGTAGCGTTTCACCCTCTTTCTGCTAGGGACACTGTGGTTTGTGAATTGCTGGCAAAACTAAAACATGATTAGGGAAAATGCAGTTTTGACATGTATTATATATTATCATCCTAATGTAGAAATCATAGATCACATATTTCACAGTGGACTGATAGTAGCCTGCTGCTTTTATCACTCTCTCATCATTCTTAAGGACGAATCCCTACATGGGCACCCATTTCTTGTACCCTCCCATCATGATATTGCTAAAAGAGGTGTAAAACCATACTTCCTCGAAGAACGGTATGCATCCCTCCCACATCCATCCTGTCATACTTCAGTGAAAAAATGATTGCAGTCGGTATTTATATGGCCATACTGTCCACCACTACATTAAACCTTGCCTCCTGTATCATGTATACATGCCACCACTACATTAAACCTTGCCTCCTGTATCATGTATACATGTCACCACTACATTAAACCTTGCCTCTTGTATCATGTATACAAGCCACCACTACATTAAACCTTGCCTCCTGTATCATGTATACATGCCACCACTACATTAAACCTTGCCTCCTGTATCATGTATACATGCCACCACTACATTAAACCTTGCCTCCTGTATCATGTATACAAGCCACCACTACATTAAACCTTGCCTCCTGTATCATGTATACATGCCACCACTACATTAAACCTTGCCTCCTGTATCATGTATACATGCCACCACTACATTAAACCTTGCCTCCTGTATCATGTATACATGTCGGTTGTGCATGTTTCATGAATTCCATTGCTCTTGTTAACACATGGTTAAGCATGACAGCTTCATGATAGACTAAGCTTCTTGAGTTAGTTGGGGGCACGGGTGGCCCAGTCGTCTTAGGCGCCGCGATTCGCTGTTCAGAGTCGCGTCCCTTGGGCACGCCAGAAACCTATGATTGTGGGTTCGAATCCCGGTTTGCCCCGATTATGTTTCTAGGTTTGTCAGCACCATACCCGTGCTCGTGGGTTTCACCGAAGTGGTAAACCTCTGAGACCTGCATCACTTCGGGCTTTCCTCCCACATTAAGCTGACACGCCGCGATATAACTGGAATACTGTTAAAAGCAGCGTTAAACCCAACCCACTCACTCACTCACTGTTCAGACTGTGTTGCATGCTACAAGTTGTTACTACAAATCGCACCGTGAGAACGCACCTTAAGCTTCTTGAGTTAGTTGATGGCTTGATGCTGGTAACTGTCTCCATGATGAAGGTGTACAGTATCTTTAAGTGGCAAATTAGGAGCTGTGTTGAAGACATCTTGTTGATCTTGCTTCATAAACGATGCTGAGTGTTGCTGTGCCTAGATGTAAAGCAGGTGTGGCAGTATATTTCAGACATACTGACTGTAGTGAAAACTCTATGGACAACATGGCATGGTGCTACTTGATCATGTTTATCATGTACTGGAATGATTTCTCTTTGATGACAGTATACTTGGATCTACTGTATGTAGAACATTATGACGTTATCATAATGAGCAACCCATGCTTGTCGTAAAAGGCGACAATGCTTGTTGAAATAGGCGACTAACGGGATCAGGTGGTCAGACTCGCTGACTTGGTTGATGCATGTCATCATCTCAAGTGCGTGGATTGATGCTCATGATCTCAATCACTGGATTGTCTGGTCCAGACTTAATTATTTACTGACCGCCGTCATATAGCTGGAATATTGCTGAGTGTGGCGTTAAACAACAAACAAACAACAACCAAACAACAACATTATTATGATGGGGTAGTTCTTTATCCATACAATGTTAATTTTGTCTTTAGAAGGAGAAAGGGGAGGAGATATGGTTCAACTTCCAGAAGACCAAGTACCTGTATGATGCGGACGAGCGGAAACAGTTCTACACGTTGTCCTTCCCCGACAACCACAGCATCAAGTACTACATGGAGTGGAAGGGCTACCAGGATGAGGTGGAGATGAAGGCGGCAGAGTCCAAGTTCGGACTCAACAAGTAAGTGTTTCAATCAACCTATGCTTGCCGTGACTCATTGATAAGGTGTTGTCAGGGTGACTTGGTTGATGGCGTGTCAGCATACACTGACCCCATTATGTAATTGGTAGGTCTGTGATATGTGAGGGTGAGGGTCCACAGTGAATTTTGAAATTCTTAGATATAACATGGTATAATTAAGACTGTAATAATCATGATAATAAACTCTGTGTTTATTATCCCTTGCCACAAAGTGGAAGGGGGATATAGGAATGGGTGCTCTCCATCCGTCCTTCCTTCCTTCCTTCCTTCCTTCCTTCCTTCCTTCTGTCACGTTTCGTTTCTGGAGCAGAACTAAAAAACCATGAGAGATACCTGAACCAAACTTGGCACATAGGTACAGTGGTGAACTGGTGCCGTTTGATTGTTTGGGTTTTTTTGAAAATTTATTTTTTGAGTTTCCATCGCAACGACTTTGACTTAGACTGAAAATGGCGGTAGTGCTCCTTTCCGGAGTAGATCTTGAAAACCGTACAGTATTTCTTGCCTTGGGCACAACCAGACATGTCATATTGGCGGGGATATGAGTATTTCATACTTGTTAATTGGCTTGGAACTGGTGTGTCAGCATAGCCCGACCCCATTATCTTGTTTGTTAGTGATGGCATAGATATGTGAGGGTCGACAGTGAATTTTGAAATTCTTACATATGACGTAGTATAATTTAAACAGTAATATCAGTAATAATAATAATAATAATCATAATAATAAACTGTGTGTTTATTAAGAAACTGGAAGTTTTCAAACCACTGATCAAATATATGAATATCATTATAATGTTTGTGTGTTTATTGGGTCCCTCAACATGCTTAATATACAGTTTAAATATTTTCTGTGAGGAAACCATGCTCCAGTTTGTGACACCAACCGTGTTACTGCTCCATCTTTGTAGCATGACCATGGACATCCCCGCGTTCATGGAGCTGTTCAGTGAGAGGGCCACCGCACCATTCTTCGTGTTCCAAGTGTTCTGCGTGGGTCTGTGGTGCCTGGACGAGTACTGGTACTACAGTGTGTTTACACTGTTCATGTTGATAGCGTTCGAGGCCACGCTCGTACAACAGCAGCTTCGCAACATGTCGGAGATCAGGAAGATGGGGAATAAACCCTATGTGATGCAGGTGATGTAGTTGACAGACAGACAATTTAGTCATGAGACATTGTACTGATAGAAGTGTCCACAATGAAGTGTGAAAGGAGTCATTGTCCCAGCACTAAGGATAAAACTTAAATATATTGGGGTCCCTGGATTGAAGAATTATAGGAGCAACCCTGAAGGACCCCAGGTTCCCCTTATATTCAAACACTAGGTTAGGCAGACTAGTTGTTCATATTTCCAGGTTCAGTTTCCCACATGGGTACTTTGTGTAAAGAACATTCCCAGTGCCCCCTCATGTTATTGCTGGAATATTGCTAAAAGTAATGTGAAATCATATTTATGGTTTCACACAATAATTATCCTGATATTCATAAAGGAAAAAACTTCCCAAGCACATTGTTGTGATGGAGCTAACATAAAAAATATAATATATTTCGCAGGCAATGTCTTTGGAAAAATGGTGCAGCTGGCTAGTGTGATGAAATGTGTTACTTCTTCATCAGAATTGTCATACTTGTCTCAGAAATGTTTAAGCTTTGATGCAGAAGGATTTTGGTGAACTTACACGGATGATTAAGATCTAACCCAACCCAACTGCGTGTTAATTTCTTTGCCAAATTTCAATTATGTTTGTACTCTTGGTTTATTTGTATATGAACATGTAAAAAATGCCTCAAAAGAAATTAACAGTCATGTGATGATGTGATTACCATATTCGACGTAATAAGCGCCCAGGGTGCTCTCAAAATTAGAAATAGGGGGCTCTTATTAGAATATTATGTTGGTAAAAAAAATAGAGTTGAAAGTTAAATTTTGTGGTTTATGCTGACAGCCTGAAATGTTTATGAACGGCAGTTATATTTTTCCAGAATTTTATTGTCAATAATAAAGGGTGCATATAACACACGAGTGCGTATTATACGCGAAAAGGGGAAGGAAACGGTGCGTATTATATGGGGGTCGGAAGGGGTGCTAATTGAATTTGTTCACTAGCCAATGTATTAGCAAATCTCGACGTGGGCGCTTATTAGATCGGGGCGCTTATTACGTTGAATACGGTAAGTTCAATGCAGAGACAGGAGTTGGTCAACTCTTTCCATGTTTCAGGCCTATCGGAACCGGAAGTGGCTGCGAATTTTATCTGATGAAATAGTCCCAGGGGACATAATCTCAATAGGTGAGACGAAGGATATATCCATGTGTCTATGTTGTTCACACAGTTATGTCCCTTTGGTATGATTGTGGATTCAAATCCAAGATTCCCACTGGTCATGGTTCCAGGTTTGTCAGCACCATACCAGTGCTTGTGGGTTTCACCAAAGTGGAAAACATCGAGACAATCACAACTCCGGGCTTTCCTCCCACTTCAAGGATACATTATGCAGCGATAGAAATTGGCACTAGTCCTGTAGTCCTTGCCAAACTGCCCAATAGTTAAGGTATCATAAGGACTAGTAGAAATTTGTCATTTTTAAGGGATTTCCTAAATGTTATCATTATAAGGTATGTAGACTAAACTGTTAGTTTCTACCGCTGAGTCATTATATAACTAAAATTCTGTTCATAGTGGACCACCTGTGTGGCTGCGTCATACCTAAAGATGGTACTTGTTGTTTCCCTGCCTGGCATTAAGGGGCTAAAACAAGGACTGGTTGGTTGGGAGTCTGTATACTGTGTCTGAGTGGGGTATTCATGTTAAACTGCGGCATCATATCTCAGTGGGCTAGCACTATTAAATCGACATAGTCCGACTAGAAAATGTAGCCACACACAAACACACACACACATGCATGCATGTCGCTATATAAGTGAAATAATCTTGATCACGACATTGAACCCCATTTCACCTCACCTCTGTTCATAGCAGTGTTAAACCTGACTGTCTCCAATTGGGAATCTCTGATGCACCTGAAAATAATTGCCCCTGCTTCATGATACTGGAATATGGAAACTAGTAACATATCACAGAAGGTGGAGGTATTTTAATCAGTCGGGCGACAACATGATTTGTGGAGATTGGTTCCAAGAGGAATGACAATTAAATTTCGTTGTAAAAAATATTAGGTTGAGTTTCCCACATGATTCTTTTGCACCTTGCAGGGCGATCTCAGGACGACCGCCTCGTACCATGTGACATGCTGCTACTGAGGGGCCCCTGTATAGTAGATGAGTCCATGCTGACAGGGGAGTCGGTGCCCGTCATGAAGGTCCGTGGTGCACACAGACAACTGGTGGCAAACTGATAATGCAATCATGGTTATTTGACCATCCTCAGATACGAATGCTAAGAGAAACTAACTGTATAAACCTGTTGACATGACATTTAGGGGTGACTTTTTGCATAACTTGATTTTGAGTGGGAAATAAAATGAATTAGTAAACAAATTATTTTTTAGATAATTACCGCCTGAAGTTCCAATCTTTTTTACTCTGCCCTGATCATGCTAAAACATGTTTTAATTTTAGAAACCTGACTTATTAATCATTTATGGTTCCGTGGTCTGTGATGAGAAAAGGTGTAAATTGCTGGTGGACTGTTTGCATTTCAATTCTCCATTTTGCTGTCAATTGTTCGAGTCACTGACTGTTGCTATGTGCAGGAGCCGGTGGAGTGCCTGGATCTGGATCACATGTTCGACCTGGAGCATGACGGCAAGCTGCACGTGCTGTATGGTGGTACAAAGGTAGTGCAGCACTCGCCCCCCAGCAAGACCGGACCGGGACTCAAATGTGAGTATTTCGTCAGTCAACTCTTGTTATCTAACCTGACAAAAGGTCCAATGAGCTCATGTAGTGACTTCTTGATTGTCCGTCATAAGTCGTGTGTCTTCTCAAGAACCACTGGACCAGTGAAACTGAAACATCAATGTGCTTATTCCCAGCAACTATGACATCTCAGTTCATCCAAGTGGTTTGAATCTGATTCTCAACATGGCCCCACAAAAACCTATTGAAGGCCATTACAGTCATGCCCCGCTTATACGGACTTCAGATATCCTGAAACCTCGGTTCCCGGACGATTTTCATTCAAAACGAAATAATTACTATATAAATTTACCCGTATATCCGGAAATTCAGTTTCAGGAACCGGACGGTCATTTTCATACACAAAACACTGAAATGCACAAAAAATTGTCTCACTTATCTGGACACTTCCGCTGGTGGTAATCCTTTGATTCGTGAGAAGTCAATTAACCAAGTGACACTGAGTTACATTTGAGACGAGCTTGTTTATTGTACATGTAATCCCGTTCGATAAATATGGTGTCTGTGGAGGTCAGAGGTCAAAGTTACAGCACGCGAAAAAAGGGAAATTTGTCTGTTTAAAGAAAAACACCCGTCAGCAAGTTTAGAAACCATCAGTAAGCATTATGGCACTGAATTTGGACATACCATAGGAAAATCGTCAATTGGTGACAGTTCAAACTTACATGACAGACTTTTTGAAACGGTTATGAATAAAGATTGAGTGGATGTATCTGTTTGCTCTGTCATCTGTCATGAGTTGCATAATAGAAGGGAAGTAACTCTTCCAGTAAGAAGCTGGTTTCAGTTATACGGAAATTTGTTTATACGGACGAATTGTGAAATGACGCAAGTGTCCGTATAAACGAGGCACGACTGTACCATGATACTGTCATTTTTGTTAAAAATGTACTGAAGTTATATATATGTTTAGTTAGTAGTAGGATGCAACACATTAGTTCTGTTTTAGCATTTTATATTTTGAGATTGTCATGACTTTGTTTTGTACCTTGTCATGACCTATTCTTGACCTTGTTATGACCTTGTTATGACTTTGTGTTGAATCTGTAAACTACTTCTCTGAAGATATTTTAAGTCCTCAGTATTTATTCAGAAAATATGGGAATATCACTACTGCAGCACCTCTTGATAAGTGACTGTCTTTGTTGACAGTTTAAACTGTTGACTTCATACCGTGGTGAGCTGCTGATGATGTACAGTTTTGCCCTGACCTGCATCCCTGGCATCAAGCTAATCTGCTGTGATATAACTGAAATGCTGCTCAAAGCAGCACTAAACCAATCTCTGTAACTCACCTTTTAGATAGTCTCCTTATGACTAGAGATACTGGATGACCAGGTTATTGATAACAAGAGTCATAATCTCCCTCACCCTCTTTCAGCCAGTGACAATGGGTGTATAGCATTCGTATTGCGGCACAGTTTCAACACGTCTCAGGGCAAGCTGCTGCGCACCATCTTGTACGGTGTGAAGAGAGTGACGGCCAACAACCTCGAGACGTTCTGCTTCATCCTCTTTCTCCTCATCTTCGCCGTCACTGCGGCCAGCTATGTCTGGATAGAAGGTGCTTTGTTATGCAAAATTTATTTAAAGTCTAGCCTTATTATTCTATTACTAGTGCCCACTGGCCAAAGGCTGCTGTATTTTTCTGTGCCAAACTTTTGCCCTTTAGCTGATATATCTGATGATTGTTGGCTTGAACCCTAGATTTGTCCTGATTGTAACAACCCCAGACCTGTGGTGTTCAACATAGGCATCTTGACATTGGAATTTCCTTTCACATTTACCTGTGAAGATCCGGGTTAGAATTGATCTTCAGCAACCCATTCTTGTCATAAGAGGCAACTAACGGGATTAGGTGGTAAGACTTGCTTACTTGGTTTGATGCATGTCATTGTATCCCAATTGCGTGGATCTAAACTCCTGTGGTCAATCACTGGATTGTCTGGTCCAAACTCGATTATGGACAGACCGCCATCATATAGCTGGAATATAGCTGAGTGCAGCGTTAAACAACAAACAACAAATCCATTCACATTTAGCAGACACCTTGTGATATTACATAAATACTGGATTAAGAAGCATAGACTATTTGCATTGCAGGAAATATACCCTCAAGCTAAGGCATGAGACTAAAAAAAAGACACTACACAAGCAGATTTATTCAAATCATGAGCATGATTAAGCAGCTGCCAACTTTTACAAATAATTGAAAACGAGAAGGTTTAAATTTTCAATAGGGATGTCACTATAGATGTGCATTTCACCTCATTACGTTGGTGTATTTTCAGGCACCAAGAATCCTGACCGAAACCGCTACAAGCTGTTCTTGGAGTGTACTCTCATCCTGACTTCAGTGGTGCCACCGGAGCTGCCCATAGAACTGTCTCTGGCTGTCAACACATCGCTACTGGCTCTCACCAAGCTGTGTATGTAGACTCAGGGCAACACTTTTATCAGCAAGGCCACAAAATACCTGTTTCACTACCAAAAGTGTACATGTGTTTGTGGTAGATGATAGTTTGTTATTGGATCTACATGTGTGGTTGAGTTGGAATCTGCTACCCTGGAAATCAAAATGCTAACTATCAAAATCTTTGCAAGTCAAGATTGTAACATACATGTTAATTTTGCCATTCAGCTTTAATTTGCCTTCACGTGCATTACATTCATTTGTTGAATTTACCTTTAAAATATCTATGAATACTCGTTCATTCTTTCCATATTTGAATTTTGTTTTTTATCGAACTTGTTAAAAAGTGATTCAGGTTCAAACAGGAAATTAATTGTGTACAGCATGTTCTGTGCTGTTTGTTTGCAAGTGTCTAAAGGGAGATAATTGTTTTCGAAAGGGTTGTCTCCCTTTGATCATACTCGGATGAGAAGTGGTTCTTTCATGTCTACACGTCTCAGGTCCTAGGGGCTATTGACCTTTGTTTGATGTATGTTGTAGATGTGTACTGCACCGAGCCCTTCCGTATACCCTTTGCTGGTAAAGTAGACATCTGCTGTTTTGACAAGACAGGCACGCTCACAAGTGACAACCTGGTGGTGGAGGGTGTTGCTGGTCTCAAGTAAGTACTTATAGGATGCTGTTGAAGTACTTACGCCCTGCATGTCAGCAGTGGTTAACTAAGACTTGTTGTCATTGCATAGTGCTAGTGCAGTTTTCTTAATTAAACATGAAAGCCAAGAGGTCCTTGCCATTGCTCTTATGCTGAAAGATTTTGGGGTCCCAAGATCTCCACTATTACTTGTTTTCAGTTATTGCTAGTGGGGCTCACATGATCTCCGCTAACGCTTTTTCTTTGATTTCGCTAGTGGGTCCGAGATCATCTCAGCACAAGATGCCCCACTGGAGACGGCACAGGTGATGGCAACGTGTCACTCTTTGGTTCAGCTGGATGATGAGATGGTAGGCGACCCGCTGGAGAAAGCCACTCTCAATGCCGTGGAGTGGACACTCACTAAAGGTAGGAACTGTGACACTCACTGAAGGTAGGAACAGTGATTACTTAATCTGTTAGGAAAATACGCTCTCAAACCTGTAGAGGAGACTTTTGTCTAACTGACTTCCTCCTCCTCATCAGGTGAGGCTGTGGTTCCGCAGAAGAAGAAGACACATGGCATGAAGATCTTCCACAGATTCCACTTCTCCAGTGCCCTGAAGAGAATGTCCGTGATTGCTGGTCACACAATGCCTGGCTCCATGGAAACAGACTACATGGCCACAGTAAAGGGAGCACCAGAGACACTTAAACCCATGGTGAGCCACTAAAACCCTTGTTGAGACATTTAAACCCATGGTGAGCCACTAAAACCCTTGGTGAGACATTTAAAACCTTGGTGAGACATTTAAAACCCTTGGTGAGACATTTAAAACCTTGGTGAGACACTTAAACCCATGGTGAGACACTTAAACTCATGGTGAGACATTTAAACCCATGGTGAGACATTTAAACCCATGGTGAGACATTTAAAACCTTGGTGAGACACTTAAACTCACGGTGAGACACTTACACCCATAAGGAGACATTTAAACCCACAGTGAGACATTTAAACCCACAGTGAGACATTTAAACCCACAGTGAGACACTTACACCCATGGTGAGACATTTAAACCCATGGTGAGACACTTACACCCACATTGAGAAATTTATACCCACAGTGTGACACTTACACCCATGGTGAGACATTTAAACCCATGGTGAGACACTTTCACCCACGGTGAGACACTAACACCCACGGTGAGACAGTTAAACCCATGGTGAGACATTTAAACCCATGATGAGACACTTACACCTATGGTGAGACACTAAGATCCACAGTGTGACACTTACAACCATGGTGAGACACTTACAACCATGGTGAGACACTTAAACCCATGGTGAGACACTTACACCCATGGTGAGACACTTACATCTATGGTGAGACACTTACACCAATGGTGAGGCACTTAAACCCATGGTGAGACACTTACACCCACGGTGAGACACTTACACCCATGGTGAGACACTTACAACCATGGTGAGACACTTACACCCATGGTGAGGCACTTAAACCCATGGTGAGACACTTACACCCACGGTGAGACACTTACAACCATGGTGAGACACTTACATCCATGGTGAGACACTTACACCCACGGTGAGACACTTACACCCATGGTGAGACACTTACACCCACGGTGAGACACTTACACCCATGGTGAGACACTTACAACCATGGTGAGACACTTACACCCATGGTGAGGCACTTAAACCCATGGTGAGACACTTACACCCACGGTGAGACACTTACAACCATGGTGAGACACTTACATCCATGGTGAGACACTTACACCCACGGTGAGACACTTACACCCACGGTGAGACACTTACAACCATGGTGAGACACTTACACCCATGGTGAGACTTACAACCATGGTGAGACACTTACACCCATGGTGAGGCACTTACATCCATGGTGAGACACTTACACCAATGGTGAGACACTTAAACCCATGGTGAGACACTTAAACCCATGGTGAGACATTTAAACCCATGGTGAGACACTTACACCCATGGTAAGACACTTACACCCATGGTGAGACACTTACACCCATGGTGAGACACTTACACCCATGGTGAGACACTTACAACCATGGTGAGACACTTACACCCACGGTGAGACACTTAAACCCACGGTGAGACACTTTAACCCATGGTGAGACACTTACACCCATGGTGAGACACTTACAACCATGGTGAGACACTTACACCCACGGTGAGACACTTATACCCATGGTCAGACACTTACACTCACAGTGAGACACATGCACTGTGATATGCAGTAAGCATGGTGAGCATGTATTGTGGTATGTCTATTTACTCATGAAATATGATGCATCTTTCCCAGTTCAAGAACCCGCCAGCGGACTATGATGACGTGTACCTGACCATGGCCAGGAGAGGTGCTAGAGTGCTGGCCCTTGGATACAAACGCATGGGAAGCCTTTCACATCAAGAGGTCAGTAAGAGCAGGTGTCATGACATGCTCTTTTTGTTGCTAGCATATTTCTGTGTCACACTCTCCCAAAGGCACATCAAATGCAGTAACTAAGATGAAGATCAAATGGTCACAGTATGCGTTCTCACTATTGATCACTGGTTTGTCTGGACAAGACTTGATAGCTTCAATTCCCCAATCTACCAGGTCATGTGACATTGCCTACCCTCATCAATACCGGTGGAGATCCGGGGTAGAATAGATCTTCAGCAACCCACGCTTGCCGTAAGAGGCAACTATGCTTCATCGTAAGAGGCGACTAACGGGATCGGGTGGTCAGGCTCGCTGACTTGGTTGATGCTTGTCATTGTATCCCAATTGCATGGATCTAAGCTCATGATATCAATCACTGGATTGTCTGGTCCAAACTTGATTATGGACAGAGCGCTGTCATATAGCTGGAATATTGCTGAGTGCGGCATTAAACAACAAACCGCCATCAAGGACCACCACTAGTTTTGCCAGATCCCTGGTGTTCCCCCTGATTATTTACAGCCTGGAGAGTGTACTGTAAAACAACATTCCCTTCGCTGTGATATTATTGCTGGTGTTTACCAGGGTTGAGACTCGTCCACCAACAGGCATGTGCATGCTGTTGCAGGTGCGGGAGATGACGCGGGAGGAGGCGGAGTGTCAGCTGGAGTTTGCAGGCTTCATCATCATCTCTTGTCCCCTCAAGGCCGACTCCAAGGCCTCTGTCAAGGAAATCTACAACGCCTCCCATGTGGTAGGTACACAAACTCACGGTGTCATGTACAAGTATTGTTAAGCCATATCTTACTTTAGACTGTTCAATCTCTCATACCTGTGTGGAATCAGGTCCGAATGGGTCCCCAGTACTTCGTATTATACTAACATATAAATAACATGCCCTCTCTTGTAACTCTGTATGGAGTGCATTGTGTATTCATTATACTGTGTAGTTGATGGTGTTGTGTTTTTTATGTACACAGTGCAAGACCTCAATAAGCAATCTGTCTGTCTGACTAATTATTGGGATTTGGTGCTTAGACTTGCTGACTTCATCTTCCAAACTGACTAAAAAAATCCAGTTTCCACCTTTGACAAACTAGGCTGGAATTATGGACTTATATTGTGGCTAGGACTAATGAGTCTGTGCATAGTCCAATCAAAATCTTGTAATGAACTCAATATCCTGTTTGTAAAATGCCATGCAGATGTCAGTCGATTGTAGGATTTGCAAAGCATGTGTACTGTCAATTTAGCGTCAACTTATATATTCCAAATCTTTTCATGTTGTTAATCAAGGTTCTCATGTGATTTGATACACTTTGCGATGTAAGACCCGTTTTATTACAATAAAGATCTTGATTATCGATCAAATCGTCTTCACTTGGTGCTGCCATTTTGTTTGATGCAAATGCAAGCTATATGAGAGGTGGAATCTGATGGGTCAAGGGGAGGGACATAGAATGGACATAACTCTTAAGAGCCGCTTGTGGTGCTACATTTGAGCCCGGAAATTCCAGCCAAGTTCAGCAAGGGTGGAAACTGAACTTTTACAGTCAGTTAAATCCCTTGCCATGGGAAGATGGCTGACTGGTGTGTTGCACTTTACCCACGTGGCTATTGTGGGTTCGAGGCCCAGGTTCAGCCTGGTTATGTTCCTCTGTGTGTCGGCACCATACACACGTTCGGGCTTTGACCAAAGTGGTAAAGACCTATGTCATTTCTGGTTTTCCTCTTACGTCAAGATGATGCACTATAATATAACATGATATTCCAAACTCATTAACTCACTAATGGTGTGGGATATTGATCATTAACCAGATCTGTCTTTCAGAAATCTAAGGATTGGTGTTTTCATGGTTATTTGAGATTTTACAGCCACTGTTGACGACAACAAGTAGGAGCATGTAGGGTCTGGTCCGCACTGTTACATGTGATGATTCTTGAGATTATCTGCATGTTATATGAGATGAAGATGTGAATTAGTTGTTGTTCTTCAGGTTGCCATGATTACTGGAGACAACCCACTGACAGCCTGCCATGTTGCCAAGGAGCTGAGAATCACCCGGCGAGAGACTGTCATCCTGCAAGGGCCAAATGATAAAGGTGGGTACAAGGAGTACACTGGGTGTGATTGTCCACATGTCAGTAGCGTGATATAGTTACATTTCCACTTAAGGCTGGGTTGGTTTTGTGGTCAAGTGTTCACATCCTGCAGCAGATCCAGGGCCCACTTGCACAAAGCGGTCTTAGCACTAAGATAATCTAACTCCCATACTTTAACATAGGCTTACAATAGTCTTAGCTCTAAGATCGTTTTGTGCAAGTGGGCCCTGGTTTGAATCGCCAATGGAAACGATTTGTCCTGTCAGTTTTTGGTGCTCCCTGTCTACAACTTCATTCTGCATGCCTGCCAACAATTACAAATTAACAGACTTTAGTTTAAAGTAATAAATTAACTGCAGAGACAAGTGTGGATTTAATTTTGTTCAGACTGGGATACTTGGCTTTGACAAAACAATGATAAGTGATTGCACATTCACTCAAAGCTGATATCTACATTATGTTTAATATCATGTTGCCACTCTCTTCACGATAACCACCTATTATGATAATACCAATGATCATAGCAATAACCAGCATGTTCATGATAACCCTCAGTTAGTTATATCCACCTAGTACAGGATTGCTACTTCCAGTATGATAATTCCTCTGCGTGTGATAACACATGAGAAGTACCAAGTTCCTGGAAGCCGCCCAGTTCATGCTAACCAACTTGCCTCTTGTATTCCTGCAGCCCGAGGCTGGCACTGGCAGTCAATCGATGATCGTGTTGTCATCCCAGCCATACCAATGGACATGAAGAAAGAGCTTCTAGCTGCATACGACCTGTGTCTCACGGGAGAGGTATGATTTATCCTGTGTAGAATGTTGCCAGTCTCAGTTTCCTCGGGCCTGGGGAGGTAAGAGAGTAGACAAGGTGGCACAGTTTTCTTTGTAACAAAAAGGATAAGCCCATCAGAAGCTTGGATTTAATATATATTATGAAACATGGCAGGTTCCTACGTACCATGCTATATGTCAATTGATCTATTTAATTTACATATTGATCAAGTGAAAGGTGGGTTGTCAACATTTCTTTTTTTTTTAATATGAACATGATGAATGATTGTTTTTTATCATCCAAAACTGGCTCCCACAGGAGATATCGCTTGGATGAAATCAAGCGATATCTACATTGTAGATATCGCTGCAATGAAATTACATCACAATGCTTTGCTGACCATTATGACGTCACTGGTTACCACGACGTCACAATCATATGACATCACTAATGGCTCTGCTACTGAAGCTGTTAGCAGTACTTTTTACACTGAAGACACTGCTAATTACTGTCTACAAATTGAAAAAGCTGGAAGAATGATGTTGGATGATAAATAAAATCTCACCCTTGTGTCGTTGATAAAAGTGACAAAATCTTCGGCAAGCTACAGAATTTTTCCACTTTTATCATCTCGTGTTGATATATTTGATATCAAAAGACACTCGGATGAGATTCTCTATTTCTGCTACCAGCTGTTTGTGAGAATTGACTCATAGACTGAGACTAGACAAATGTACTCATCACTCCCTGCTTGTGGTTAGAACCGACTATTATCAGGAGTTTGTTGTGACCTGGCTGATTGTGTATTACACAACAGGGATTATACTTGGTTGTCATGGACCCATGAAGAACTGTGTTAGAATAGGTTTTCAGCAACTCATGCTTGCTGTAAGAGGCGACTATGCTTGTCGTAAGAGGCAACTATTGGGATCAGGTGGTCTTGCTCACTGACTTGGTTGATGCATGTCATCATATCCTGATTGCGGAGATCGATGCTCATGATGTCAGTCACTGGATTGTCTGGTCCAGACTTGATTATTTACTGACTGCCGTCATATAGCTGGAATATTGCTGAGTACGGCATTAAACAAACAAACTTGGTTGTCATGGAGTCGATATTTGACCACTGGCCTGCCTGGCCAAATTGCAGAGATGTGGCTAGAACATTGCGGATGAAAGCAACATTCACTCGTTCAATCACATACCAAGTGTCTAACAGCTCTGACCACTGATCTCTTCTCCTAGGCCCTCACTTGGCTGCAGACAGAACACTACAAGCTCCTGAGAATCGTGCTGCCAAATACTAAAGTCTTTGCCAGGGTAGCCCCAAAACAAAAGGTAGGTACATCTCACCAGTTTGATCACATCCTACATGGCTTCACAGGACTTAGGAATTCTTCATAGTTGACACAAATTTTTGCCTAAAAACAGTAACATTTATTCTGCAATGGTTTTGCTTTGTAAACAACAAATGACCTCATTCACTTACTGTAAACAATGAATGACCTCATCCACATGCTGTAAACAATGAAGGACCTCACACAAGCTCTAAACAATGAAGGACCTCATCCATACACTGTAAACAATGAATGACCTCATCCACATGCTGTAAACAATGAAGGACCTCACACAAGCTCTAAACAATGAAGGACCTCATCCATACACTGTAAACAATGAATGACCTCATCCATATGCTGTAAACAATGAACAACCTCATCCATACGCTGTAAACAATGAAGGACCTCATCCATATGCTGTAAACAATGAAGGACCTCATCCATACGCTGTAAACCTAATAGACTTCAATTGTCTGAAACATCCTGTAATTATAAGTTGATTGACTCATGTTGTGATTGACTCATGTTGTGATTGCTTCATGTTGTGATTGACACTGTATCATGTGTTATCTGCCTTGCAGGAGTTCATAGTTACAGCCCTGAAGGGCATGGGCTACACCATTCTCATGTGTGGAGATGGAACTAATGATGTTGGGGCTCTCAAACACGCTCATGTTGGTGAGGAGATTTGTCCCTTAAAAATATGCTGAACCCCAAAAAGTCGGGGATCATGAATATTTTTGGAGATATTGTTTGTAGTGAAGATTGAGCACACAATTTCATTAACCTATCCCCAAAAATATTGATGATCCTTAACATTTATGTGAATTGTACAATGTAACTATAATATACCAACTATCACCACTGATTAATTATTTGAAGTCCTTGGTTACCATCAGTGTTGCTGCAGGAATTACCAGTGACATAGACCTCAGGCTGCTACAGGCCTCCAGGGTGAACTATGTAATGAGTCTGTGAGACAAGGATTTGTTGTAAGTTTGAAGGTGTTACTGGGTATTTATGTCACACCAAAAGAGTTTAAAGCCCCATCTGCGGTAGTAACTACTGCACTCTAGTGGGCGGAGCTTATACAAATGATCTGACAGGTTAATATGACGTCATGATAACACATACATTTCATTGGTTAATGCGTAAACGGGTGACGTCATGTAAACACCCACCCACATGGGACGTTTGACAACAAGGACGTAAGTTTTAATGGAAATATAAATGTCTACCAAACGATTCCAAGACTTTTCGACAAACGCGTACATCTTTGGTTTCAAAATGTACCTTCAATGTCGTCTTCACATCTTCATTTATAGCGCAACCGTAAATAAGCTCCGCCCACTGTGATTGATGCAGACGCCAAACACGATCGATTCGATTTCTTTATGATAAAACTACAGAAGATTTATTGACTTATATCTAGATATGGAGCCATTTGTGGTATCCAGGGTTGGTCATTCAAGTTGATACGAAGTTTGACGGTCAATGGTGATCTTGTTCCCGTATGGTTTTCAAAAATCTTCTCCCGACACTCAGTTGTGTTTACATTGTCAGTCATTGTTCGAAACTGAAACACCACCACCTTGCGGGCTATTTATAGTCAGGGTGGGGCTTTAAGCATTAGCATTGCTAGCAAAGGTTTCGAATTTATGTGTAAATATTGCTGGGATCCCTTTCTGCTTATGTTGCAGTGTAGGTTGTGTTGTGTTTCAGGTGTTGCACTACTGGCCAACGCTCCAGAGAGGCTGCCCGACAAGAAGAGGAGAAGAGATGAGGTATGTAGACAAGTTGGCAGTGAGGGACTACTAATGCTGAGTCAGGTTATTCAGTTACTCGTAACTCTTGTTATGATTACAGATGCCTAATGATTCTAGCAAGAGGCCCACAGCTTATTATTAATGTGCACATTTTACAACATTGGGATAATTGATGTGAAATCGAGTTGTGAAAATTCTCAAGTGCAATTTCATGCAGCAATAACACCAAATTGTCAGACTGGGTGACAAGGCTCATTGTGTGCCACCATACCCTGATAGCATTACACATTACTCATGATATCAATCACTGGGTTGCCTGGCCCATACTGATATATTTACAATCTGCTTTTATGGCTGGAATAATTCTGTCTGTGGCTCTTTACTCGACAGTTTCATCCTTGTATAACCAACGTATTATATGTGGATTCTGTTTTGATGTATACACAGGATCCATTTGCCATCGTACCTTTGTATTGTTTGTTTGTTTATTTGTTGTTTAACACCACACTCAGCAATGTTCCAGCTATATGACGGCGGTCTGTAAATAATCAAATTAGGAGCAACTTTCTACACAATTGGGATACGATGACATGCATCAACCACGTCAGCGAGCCAGACCACCTGATCCCAATAGTTGCCTCTTACGACAAGCATGGGTTGCTGAAGACCTATTCTAACCTGGATCTTCAGATCTAACCTTTGTATTGAGTCTGGTTTTAATGTCCAAATGAAATATGTCTGATTTTGAAAGTAGATCCCTACTATACTCACGTTCTGAAGAGGTATTTTGACCATGGTGATTGGCTCTAGATTTCAAGCTCATAGTGATAAGAGAGCAGTAGATACTGATGCATGTATCAGGGTATTTCTCGGAATAGAACAGAGATATAAGAGCTGGATAATCAAACTCTGTTTTTCTTATGAGGTATCTCATACTTGACATGACGCCATACATTGCTGTAGTCCAACAGATTTCTGTGTTTGTGTTCAGAACAGCAGCAGTGTAGATGGCGAGACCCCCAATGACAAGCTGCAGATGATGAGTCAGCGCGGTGGGGGCAAGGTGTCAGGACGGGCTGCCAAGCAGAGAGCCATTGCAAGGGGAGATAACCTCGCTCCTGCACAGGTAGGTACCTTAGAAATGTCATGTACAATGTTACGTCAGTTAGAAGGTGTTCAAGGGCATTAGTACATTCACTGTGATTGATGGCTGGAAAAAGCATCACAAAATGTTAGTTTTGGGCTAAAATTGTATGATTCATTGATTAAATGCTGTGATTTATGGTTTAGTGTATATAATTTTGTATTACATATATTACAGACTATTTCTATTCAGTTGAAGGACTAAATATAAATATGACACAACAGAATCCTTTTACATACTGGTGGGCTAGATATTAAATAAATACTTCTGAGGGATTGTTGGGCTGGTTGCTTTTCGCTACAGCTTGAAGTGCCGCTCCTGATGTCATGTATAAGAAATTGTATAGGTACTCGACCATGGAACGTAACTCTGCATGATGTGACTAGTGATACAGGATTAATGCAGAGGGCGCTGAATCCAGACTATTCCAGCGCTGGTTACAATAGCGCAAGCATTGCATTGTGTTGTGTCAGGATAAGAATCAATTTACATGACGTTGGATATTAATTATATTAGTCTACTTATCCTGACACAAGTCTCAGGCCTGCCCTTCCTTTGCCCATCTGGATAACAAGCTGTGTGCTGATGGCTGATCAAGGACAGATAACTCTGATTGGTAACCAAAGGGCAAGGCAGGCCCTGGGGTTAGAAGAGGCATGTTTTATGTTCTGTGTGATATGATCGAAGTGGAAAAGGAAATTGCAGGGTGTCGTGTCAGGATAATAATATGCATAATGCATAATATATATGCAACATCGAGGCTTCACCCTATCTCATGTACTGGCATGAGCCAATCACACTCCTTCCTCTGAAGGGACTAGCGCCTTAACAGACATCACCCATGGCAATTTACAGGAGTTTAATATGCCATTTGTCGTTACAGAAAAAGCTTGCTGCCATGTTGAAAGAACTTGAAGAAGAGGAAAAATCACAGATTGTTAGACTTGGAGATGCCAGCATAGCATCCCCTTTCACATCCAAACTATCCACAGTGGCTAGTGGTGAGTGACTTTCTACCAGTATAGCATTAACCAAAGCAGTGTTAAGATAAGCACCACTGTATATATTCTGTTGTGTAAACTCCAGATGTATCAATGTATAACATGCCAATTTTCTCCTATTTCAGTGTGTCACATCATCAAACAAGGGCGATGTACTCTTGTGACAACCCTGCAGATGTTTAAGATCCTGGCCCTGAATGCCCTGATCCTGGCTTACAGCCAGAGCGTGCTGTACCTGGACGGCATCAAGTTCAGTGACGGCCAGGCCACCATGCAGGGTCTGCTGCTGGCTGGCTGCTTCCTGTTCATCTCTCGGTCCAAGGTAACACCATAGAGCTGCGTGTCACATCTGGCTCCCGGGCGGCCCATGTTGTAAGGTGCCGCTATTTGAGTTCATCTTTTACAGGTGCTAGAAACCTTTGATTGTTGGTTGATTGCCATAATCACCTTGATCATGTTTCTAGGTTGGCCAGCACCATACACATGCACATGGGTTTCACCTAAGTGATAAACGTCTGAGGGACTAACCATTTGATATTTGGGAGTGGCCTGGGATTTTGTATTGAGACCAGATATTTTTTCCAGCTAGAACTGCAAAACCAGACATTTAAAAAAAATTAAAACTCTGAGCCAAAATATTTTTTTCTAAGTTTTGTGGCAGAATATCAAATGAGTTGCAACACTGTGTGCTTTCCACCAACATCAAGCTGACACACCCTGCTTGAACTGAGATACTGTTCAAATAAGCGTGTAAGAAAACTCACTCACTGTTAATATAGACAGACACAGGTTCTTTATTTACCCTTGTATTCATCAGCTAACACAATACACCTGCTTCACTCAAACATGTCACCCAACTGCCAGCCTAGAGCAAATCAAGATGGCTGCCGTAAAGTCATTCCCAATACATAGAGGGCAGTTTCGTAATTTGGGGGAAAGTTTCGTATCCACATATTAACACTCACTCAATGTTGTATTATCCCAACAACAACATGATAATAATTACAGCAATAGCTAGTAATAGTAATAATAGTAAGAAAAAGAATTGAAGTTGTTTTCTCTGCTGTAACAAGTTGTTAAGCAAGTGGTTACACTTGCCTACAACCCATATCTGTTGTACTGCTACTCATTCAGTGCCTTAGTTTAGTCAATATCTTTCTGTCTAATACCCTTTGTATAAATCAGCTTATATAAAAGTGCCTGAAAATGACACTGAGGGCAATGTTCCAGTCAGCAGACACTGTAGTATTGTTCACAGCCTGATGTTTTGTCATCTTGTTTCAGCCACTGAAGACACTGTCGAAGGAGCGTCCACTGCCAAACATCTTCAACCTGTACACAATACTTACAGTGCTGTCTCAGTTTGCTGTACATTTTAGTAGTTTAGTCTATTTAGTCGGGGAGGCGCATCGACACGATGCAGCAAGGTAAGTCCCTCAATGTCTGTTAATATCCTCAACCGTGCGATGCATGGTGGGCCCTGAGAGTGTGTCCCTGAGTGTGTGTCCCTGGGTGTGTTTCCCTGGGTGTGTGGCCCTGAGAGTGTGTCCCTGAGTGTGTGGCCCTGAGTGTGTGGCCCTGAGAGTGTGTCCCTGAGTGTGTGTCCCTGGGTGTGTGTCCCTGGGTGTGTGTCCCTGAGTGTGAGGCCCTGAGTGTGAGGCCCTGAGTGTGTGTCCCAGAGTGTGTGTCCCTGGGTGTGTGTCCCTGAGAGTGTGTCCCTGAGTGTGTGTCCCTGAGTGTGTGTCCCTGAGAGTGTGTCCCTGAGTGTGTGTCCCTGGGTGTGTGTCCCTGAGAGTGTGTCCCTGAGTGTGTGTCCCTGGGTGTGTGTCCCTGGGTGTGTGTCCCTGGGTGTGTGGCCCTGAGTGTGAGGCCCTGAGTGTGTGTCCCAGAGTGTGTGTCCCTGGGTGTGTGTCCCTGGGTGTGTGTCTCTGGGTGTGTGTCCCTGGGTGTGTTTCCCTGAGAGTGTGTCCCTGAGTGTGTGTCCCAGAGTGTGTGTCCCTGGGTGTGTGTCCCTGGGTGTGTTTCCCTGGGTGTGTTTCCCTGAGAGTGTGTCCCTGAGTGTGTGTGTCCCTGAGTGTGTGTCCCTGAGTGTGAGGCTCTGAGTGTGTGTCCCTGAGTGTGTGTCCCTGAGTGTGTTTCCCTGAGTGTGCGGCCTTGAGTGTGCGTCCCTGAGTGTGCGTCCTTGAATGTGTGTCCTTGAATGTGTGTCCCTGAGTGTGTGTCCCTGAGTGTGAAGCCCAGAGTGTGCGGCCTTGAGTGTGCGTCCCAGAGTGTGCGTCCTTGAATGTGTGTCCTTGAATGTGTGTCCTTGAGTGTGTGTCCCTGAGTGTGTGTCCTTGAGTGTGTGTCCTTGAGTGTGTGTCCCTGAGTGTGTGCCCCAGGGTGTGTGTCCCAGAGCGTGTGTCCCTGAGTGTGTGCCCCTGGGTGTGAAGCCCAGGGTGTGTGTCACAGAGTGTGTGTCCCTGAGTGTGAGGCCCTGAGTGAGAGGCTCTGAGTGAGAGGCCCTGAGTGTGTGTCCCAGAGTGTGTGTCCCTGAGTGTGAGGCCCTGAGTGTGAGGCCCTGAGTGTGTGTCCCAGAGCGTGTGTCCCTGAGTGTGAGGCCCTGAGTGAGAGGCCCTGAGTGTGTGTCCCAGAGCGTGTGTCCCTGAGTGTGAGGCCCTGAGTGTGAGGCCCTGAGTGTGTGTCCCAGAGTGTGTGTCCTTCAATGTGTGGCTCTGAGTGTGTGTCCCAGAGTGTGAGGCCCTGAGTGTGTGGTGCATAGTATGAGAATCTGAGTGTGTGGCTCTGAGTATGTGGTGCTTAGTGTGTGGTTCTGAGTGTGTGGTGCTTAGTGTGTGTCCCTGGGTGTGTTATGCTTAGTGTGTGGTGCTTAGTGTGTGTCCCTGGGTGTGTGGTGCTTAGTGTGAGGCCCTTAGTGTGAGGCCCTGAGTTTGTGGTGCATATTATGAGGCTCTGAGTGTGTGGTGCTTAGTGTGTGGCTCTGAGTATGTGGTGCTTAGTGTGTGGTTCTGAGTGTGTGTGGCTCTGAGTGTGTGGTGCTTAGTGTGTGTCCCTGGGTGTGTGTGGCTCTGAGTGTGTGGTGCTTAGTGTGTGGCTCTGAGTGTGTGGTGCTTAGTGTGTGTCCCTCGGTGTGTGTGGCTCTGAGTGTGTGGTGCTTAGTGTGTGGCTCTGAGTGTGTGGTGCTTAGTGTGTGGCCCTGAGTGTGTGGTGCTTAGTGTGTGGCTCTGAGTGTGTGGTGCTTTGTAAGTTATATGTGACAAGAAGAAGAAAACTTTTGACCGTCACAAAAGTATCTAAATGTCAGTACCAGTATATCCAGTCAGCACGGTCAGACGAGTAAGAAACATAACAGCTTTTGCTTTTTTATCCAGAAAAGAAGAGTTTCCAGATTTAGAAGCAGAGTTCAAGCCAACCATCTTAAACACAACTGTATATATCATGTCCATGGCTTTACAAGTCTCAACATTTGCTGTCAACTATAGGGTGAGTCATGTCAACTATAGGGTGAGTCATGTCAACTGTAGGGTGAGTCATGTCAACTATAGGGTGAGACATGTTAACTGGAGGGTGAGTCATGTCAACTGGAGGGTGAGACATGTCAACTATAGGGTGAGTCATGTCAACTGGAGGGTGAGTCATGTCAACTGGAGGGTGAGTCATGTCAACTGGAGGGTGAGTCATGTCAACTGGAGGGTGAGACATGTAAACTGTAGGGTGAGACATGTAAACTGAAGGGTGAGTCATGTCAACTGGAGGATGAGTCATGTCAACTGGAGGGTGAGTCATGTCAACTGGAGGGTGAGACATGTCAACTGGAGGGTGAGAAATGTCAACTATAGGGTGAGACATGTCAACTGTAGGGTGAGTCATGTCAACTATAGGGTGAGACATGTCAACTGGAGCTGAGTCATGTCAACTGGAGCATGTTTGAGCATGTATTTCTGGTATTAATCATCCAGTCGAGGTGAGTTTCTCTGTTTGTGGTTCTTTGATTACGATATTGAACACAGTAAAGACTGCCTCCATAGTCTAGAAGATAGAGCGTGTGCCTAGGTATTAGAAGCTCTGTGTTTCAATCCCCAGCAGGTCATGCCAAAAGTCGTTAAAAGATGGTACTTGTTGTTACCCTGTCTGGTGCACTGCATTTAAGGGATAAAACAAGGACTGGTCAGCTTGGAGTCAGTACACTGTGCCTCAGTGGGGTATCCATGTTAGACTGTGGCGTGATATCTCAGTGGGCCAGCACTATAAAACCATCATAAATCTGGACTAGCACAAGCGGACACACTGACAGGTGCATACACATCACTATATAAGTGCAATATTCTTGAATGCAACATTAAACCCCTTTTCACCTCACTTATCTCAACAGTTAGGGTTGCTGTAACCACTGAAGATGACACATGTCTGAGTGGTTATCATAGTTAACTAGCTCAAAAGCCATCATTACAGACATATCATGAAGAGTTATTTTGTAACGTATATCTGTTACAGGGAGAACCATTTATGGAGAGTTTAAAGGACAATAAACCCCTCCTGTACAGTTTGATGTTCTCGGGCGGCGCCATCTTTGCACTGGCAAGTGGACTGCTTCCTGACCTTGCAGACCAGTTTCAACTGGTGGCCTTGCCAGATGAGGTAAGTATAGCAACAAGTCCAAATACCCCCTTGAATCCATGAGGTTGGAACAACATCCTCCAGTGTCTAATTATCAAAATGGGTGAACCAATTCTTTTTTAAAACTCTCACCTCATTTACTGCTGATCCAGCAGTGTGTTTTCTTCACAACCCTCTTGTGAGGTGCACCAAGCAGATAGTTACTCTCCAGACAAAGCTGATAACATGTCTATGCCTGATGTGATCGACCCAAAATGCAGCATGCTCATTGTGCTGTTGTGCTACTGTCCTACAATTCCTGATTTCTTTGTATCTAAATAATCTAATTGAAGATAGTTATATATATGTGCAAGTAGTTAAGTTTGCAAGGTTGATAGGGAAAAACATTTGTTCTTAAACAGAAGAGGTAATGTTAGGAAGGTGTTTGACCGGAACTGAAGAACGCGATTAAATCCCATCATTATGATATCTAGTAATAAAAAAAATTGTTCACTGTTTATCTGGACAAGAGTTTGCAATATATTTGATTAATATTATGCAATATTTCATTCAATAATTCTGATAATGTTTACAATAATTTTGCCGAAATCGTATGCGAAGTGATCGGTAGATCGCACAACTCACCGTTTTTACAGCAGCCACGGTCAGATTACCGCTATTGACGCCTTGAACTGAACTTTAGTTGCAAGAGAATGGATACACATATCATGTATGCAGTACCATGACTCGCTAAAAGTCATATTTGAGGCAGTATGACTATAAAATGTCAATATAACGTTTTCGAAATCGAAATACATGTAGCGTGGGAAGTCCCTACGGTGACTGGTCAAAATCGTGCCATCTGTACCAAAGTGCTACACTTATGGTTATTATGATTTTAAGTATATATGGTGGAAACTAAAATAAAACAATATTGGAATATATTATTCCTGATAAAATAATAATTTCAGATACAATTTCTTCCCACCATTGCATCAAAATTCTTTGAAGTTCTTTCATTGGGTACATTTTAACTGAATCATCGGTAGATTGGGAGGAAACGTGTGCACAGCTGATTGCTATTTCCGGCTTAGTTTATGAGAAAATACACACGGTAATCTTAATCTCTGCATATAAAACAATGCCTTTGAGAGCAGGAAATACATTTTAAATGGTAAAATCATCATGTCTAGTGATGTTTTATATCAAATTTCATACTTTTATTGACCAAGTTTGTTGTCAACTGAAGTCGTTGAAGGGATATGATAACGCTCATCAATTATTTGGACCCCGAAGGTCCCAATCGGACATGTCTGGCGCATATGACTGTTTCCGGACCCCTGTGTTTGACGGTCTTATATCTTCCACTGTTTGCTTACCCCCTTCTTTTTCTCTGTTTCAGTTTCGCAACACAGTTCTTGGTGTCATATCGGCCGACATTGTTTTAGCATTTGTAGTCGACAGAGTTATACGATTTTGCCTAGGAACGGGGAAGTTAAAATCTACATATTAATTTATTTTTATATAACATTGCCTTTCACATGCTTTTATTAACATGGCTGTGTCTCAAATACAGGATTTCCCCCTAGCCCCTTGAGGTACTGTTTCTCAGTCACACATCATTCCTACATTGACTTTCATCCTATGGTTTACAATGGGGCCAGTTGGTGTTGGAGGTGCACCCGCTCTTCAGATGCTAATGTGCTGTCATGTGGCGTCTCCATGTGTGTCTGGTGCACTGCACTAAGGAACATCACATGAAGCAGTATACATTAACTCAATCATGCCTCTCTTATAGAATATTATCCTTAGACTGAGCTGCTTTTGTTGTGCTATGAAATCCTGAATAAGTATTATCTGATACCAGTATATTTGATAATTCTGTGACGTAACATGGATCCCATGTCAGCTGGATGACATCCCATGTTTGCAAGGTGATGTCCCATGTTTGCAAGGTGATGTCCCATGTTTGCAAGGTGATGTCCCATGTTGCAAGGTGATGTCCCATGTTTGATTGGATGAAATCCCATGTTTGCAAGGTGGTGTCCCATGTTTGATTGGATGACATCCCATGTTTGCAAGCTGACATCCCATGTTTGCAAGGTGATGTCCCATGTTTGCTAGGTGATGTCCCATGTTTGCAAGGTGGTGTCCCATGTTTGATTGGATGACATCCCATGTTTGCAAGCTGACGTCCCATGTTTGCAAGCTGACATCCCATGTTTGATTGGATGACATCCCATGTTTGCAAGGTGATGTCCCATGTTTGATTGGATGACATCCCATGTTTGCAAGCTGACGTCCCATGTTTGCAAGGTGGTGTCCCATGTTTGATTGGATGACATCCCATGTTTGCAAGCTGACGTCCCATGTTTGCAAGCTGACATCCCATGTTTGATTGGATGACATCCCATGTTTGCAAGGTGATGTCCCATGTTTGATTGGATGACATCCCATGTTTGCAAGCTGACGTCCCATGTTTGCAAGGTGATGTCCCATGTTTGATTGGATGACATCCCATGTTTGCAAGGTAATTTCCCATGTTTGCAAGGTGATGTCCCAGGTTTGACTGGATGACATGTCTGCTAGGTGATGTCCCATATTTGATTGGATGGCAATCTGTTGAGATCTACTACATGTACATGTATATGCACATTCAATTTCAAATGCAAAAATCTGTTTGGAAATTTTTTGTTTGTTTGTATGACATATAGCAAAATTTGCAGCAGATTAAACATCAATCAACACCTATGCATTTCATATTTCATGTGTTATTTGTAGTTGAGTAGGTGTGGGAATTAAGAATCAGTGTCCCTATTACTGTGGTATTGTTTGTTAACAAAGCAAATGTACTGTTCCTGTTAGCCTCAACGGAGATATGGGCTTAGTGCTATCCAAGGGGAGATAACTTAATAGGTACCCTGACAGTGGGGAGGAAGCCTGTATTCGAGACAAAGCTTTCTCCAGTCACCTCAGTGAGAGCCAGAGTTTTGTAACACTATTTTTGATTGGGCGGAGATGTGGATCTCAAGCAGACCAATTGATAGTATAAGTAACCATGTGATTATGTCATAATTGTGATTGGATGACAGGCTTGTATATTATAGACCCAGGGACAAATTCTGACTATGAAGCAACTGTTTGATGTCTATAATGAGACTTTTGATGAGGAGCAGGCAACTGTTGATAGATGTGATGCTCTAATTGTGTATTCCTGTACCAATATGGAATCACTCTTGATTTGGCTTTGTTATTCATGGAGCTTGATCTACCATGTCTCTTATGTTGAGTTGTTTCCCTTAGACATGCCAGAATCCTGTGATTGAGGGTTGAAATTCGCACATCTGCCTGATTATGATTCTTGGTATCACCATACACGTCACTGTATTGGAAATATCTTAAGACCTGCATCATTTTGAGCTTTCTTATACAATAACCTGACGTGCCGTGATGTAACTGAAATACTGATCAAAGTGGGGTCAAATCAAATTCACTCACTCTCGATTACTGTATCTGTACTATTCACACAAGGGGTTTCCCAGAAATGTGGAAGTAGTGGGTCACTGTCTACATCACTTTCAAGTGAAAGTGTGCTGTTTGCACGTTATGAACATCAGTTTTGTTGTCATGTGCCCATTATCTCACTGACAAAGCATATGTCGCATAAACATTACATTAATACATTATGCCCTGATTAGTTCAACTCTGTTCTAATGTGATAACATGTTTGAATTTGTCTCGTGGGTGACAGTTGAGTGAGTGTATTGTGTCGTTCCTCGTGTTCACACGTGCGTCCTATTGATGTCCACATGGAGATAAGGCCCTGCTAGATGTTAGCAAGAAATAAGGCTGCATTGACGCAGAAGTCACAGTAAGAAACGCATCTTGTTATATGACCAGTGGGGACATTAGCATTGTCAAAATAAATATTGCCTTGAATACTCTGACAGTTTATCCAGTAAAACTGCATTTCAGGAAAAGAAGTTTTCTTATCAAAATATATATAAGCATTGGAAAAAAGTTCAGAACCATGTGTCGTATCAATATCTACATATGACACATATCTCATTTTTGTAAAGTACCTGTTGAAAAATTGGTACGAGAGCAGTAAGATTGTCACTTTGTAAACACGCACAAATGTGTTTCATTATAATGTTAATACAGGAAACAATTTTTTAAATAGCTACTTTATGTGCAAGTACGTTGTGACCCATGTTTAACCTGTTCCCATGTTTAAGCATTTTAACCAGTGACTAAATATGAGCAACTACACATGTCTAGGACGTGTTGGGGAAGTTGTTAACGCCATAGCTATTTGCAAAACCGACTTTTGTAATACATAGTACATGGTCACATTGATGAGTTCTGCATGATGAGGTAACAAGCATCGAGTATTGTCGTCCCAGGGTCAAGTCTCAGGATGTGCAGATGAATCATTGACCCATGTATAGTGTACTGTGTATATGTTTAAGGGATGACCGAGGGTTGTGTTGGGTGCCTTTGTTCTGGTATTGTCAGTTGGATAACTTGACCTGAATAAACCACTGAACTGGACAAGATGGAGACCTTTGTTTTCTTTAGACACGCCTAAATTATGTCTTACGATGAAAGTGTGAACTGGACAACCGAACATGCACCAGCAACATCGGTGAAGTCTTCACTGACTTGAATTTGGAGATAAACATCTTGTGTTTTCAATGAAGAGCTGGGTTATCTGTAGATTTAACCGTACTAAAGTAGATCTGAAACCAAAAATTGCAGTGTGTTTATCACAATTCTACCATGACAAACATCAAAGTGATCACCTTGGTGTTAGCTGAGATAGAGTGAAGAGACAATGGTTGAGTCCAATGTTTGCAGTGGGTTGTGGGTTGTAGGTGTCAATATGATGCATCAAACAACGATTGGTTCTGTACACAGTAAGTAACACATCTTGTTATATGACCAGTGGGGACATTAGCATTGTCAAAATGAATATTACCTTGAATGCTCTGACAGTTTATCCAGTAAAACTGCACTTCAGAAAAAGAAGTTTTGTCCTCCAATTATATATAAGCGTTGGAAAAACGTTCAGAACCATGTGTCGTATCAATATCTACATATGACACTGACCTCATGTTTGTAAAGTACCTGGTGAGAGCCGTAAGATTGTCACTTTGTAAACGCACACAAATGTGTGTACACATATGAGTGTATATGATTGTATATGATTGACCATGATTGTATATGATTGTACATGAACTCAAACGTTTATGGCAGTGACTGCACCAATCAGGAAGATTGCAGCGTAGAGTTGCTTCCCTTATGTGTGGTAGAAACCAATGGTTTTTCGGCACCATGGCCGAGCATCGTGGAAGAAGAAAGTCAGAAGCGATGCCGGTCTTACATGGTTCCCACTTCTATGAAGCTAAATATAGAGTAGTGCTGCCTTAATAATATCTAGTCTCTGAAATTAAAATAGTTTACAGAGAAAAAAAGTTGCAAATTATAGTTACATGTATAAAATATAATGAAAAGGAGCCCAGAGATTTTCTTATATAGTAATCTAGACTTGCCAAATAGTAAAGACTCCCAGGGGCTGCATTGGATATATTTGTTTCAGGGTCTGTATGACAGACAAAACCCACTGTCAAATCTAAAACATTACCAGGGCTACCAGAAGTTTACATTTGTGACATTTGTTCATGATAATAACTTTTAGCCAAAATTGGATATGAACCAAATTTGATAATTTTCCTTGTAATCCCAAACAGAGGCAGAGGGGTGTTATTTGTAAACATCATCACATGGGTCAAGTTGGATAGCCAAACCAGACATTTGCTTGTTGTATAGTAAAAAAAGACATTTTCTATGAGTCTTGATACGAAAGAGAGCAGAGGCCATATCTATAGAGAGTAAGTCGTGATGGATAACTCGTCACGATATGGCTGCAATATTGCCGATGTGACGTTATATATTAACTCACTCACTCACTCGTGATGGATAATTACCTGGGTAATATTTGGTATTTGCACACTAATTTAAAATACTGCCTGCTCAGTTTAGACATAAACGTATTCACGGTGTATTCGTGTAGAAGTGCGGTTTCTTGTCATATCCTGGATTTGACAGGTCGTTGTCACGTGCTGCACGGACTGTCCGTGCGTTAGCGCCTCGCTATAACAACTTAAACTGTAAAAGAGTTTTATTGCCGTTTCAAGGCGGCTGCTAACTTTTCAAGCACTCTAGAAAACAGAAAATGGATTCAAAAATGGGATGGGATGGTGACATCAGAAACATACTGAGGAGAATTTACATCAATCGCCTTACAAAGGGGTACATGGCATTTCCTGCACCTTCCAACATTTCATTGAACGCGATCGAGCGATAGTTAATAGAACTGACAAGACTCGCTGCTTTCAAATATTTATCGTAAGCTGATTATGTAACATGTATAAAATACCATTTGTTTGATGGAACCCGTGAATGTCCGGGTTAGAATTGATCTTCAGCAACCCACGCTTGTAAGAGGCGACCAACGGGATCGGGTTGTCATGCTCGCTGACTTGGTTGATGCATGTCATCGTATCCCAATTGCTTAGATAAATGCTCATATGTAAATCACTGGATTGCTGGTCCATTTGTTAATAGAAATACAGTCCCTACAGCGTGTCATTTTCTCACACTTTAATGACTGCTTGCACTTTAATGACTGTTTGCATTAAACAATTTTAGAAATCGAAGATGGCCCACAGTTTACGTTTACTTTTTATACTATAACTTTGAAAGTATTCAGCACACAACTACAAGTCCAAAGATGCAATTGCTTTTTTTTCAACTTGAACATTCCTGGTTTCAATAAAATATCTTGCAATCACTATAAAAAAGTTATGATACCAGGTATTCGCGAAAAGATGGTTAAATACAGTGTATTGTGATTTGATACCTCTGAATAACCAAATCCGAATCGAGTATTTCCCAAATTCTTAGAAGTATCAATAATTAATATGATCAAATGATCATATCTGGTTGCACATGGAAATAAAGTGTAAAACTTCAAATACTGTTTATGAATATATATCTATATAATACAACGAACATTTTCAGAATACAGCCTTGACAACTTGAACTGTTATACTGTCGGTATTCCTCTAGGATTTGTCAGATCCTTCATCGTCACGATCCACTCATTATTTACTTTATACCCGTATTTGAATAAATTGCATCAACGAAAACCTCTTTCCTACTAAACAAGGATAAGGGCCATTTTTGCATGAGCTAAGAAATGTGGGACACTTCCATATAAATATTCAAGATGCCTTCTCATGAATGAGAATTAAATATATTTTCACAAAATGCAGAGATAAGGCCTCGTCTGGATTTAGAGGTTCTCGGGACATGTTTTCTGATATTCTGACGCGGTCAAGTCCTTTGCCCGAACCGACGTTTTATAGGCTGTAATTAAATATATAAGCGACAATACCGTTTCAATTTTCATAGTTATAGTTCCAATAATGTTCATCGTTAAATTACTACCATTTGCATTTACTATTTCCAGTTATGTCACATCACAACCAAAGGAAAACATATTTTTAACTCGAAACAGATTGGGTTTAATGAGCCACATTAACAACGTATTCTATGTGACTTGAATAATGTCTACATCGCGCTACAAATAGTGTAATTCTCGAAGCACTGAACACTCGGACATGGACATTTCTGGCGTGGACACTGTCATAAATTAATGATCATGAGAGCATATGGGATTTATTAAATGAGGCGGTAGGTGGTAACAAATATTACCTACATGACTTGTTTGTTTAACGACTCCGCAATACACCAGCTTTGTGTCAGCGGACTGTGTTCAATCTCGAGTCTGGACCAGACAATCCAGTGATCGTCACCATGAACATCTATCTACGCCATTGGGATATGACACGCAATCAACCAAGCCCGATTACCCGATCTATTTAGCCGCCTTTTACGACAAGCATAGGTTGCTGGGGACTTATAAACTTTCCAGAATCCAAACAGGTCTTGAGGAACGTAATATGTTTACGAAATTAAACCTGCCAGGTCGAGATGGAACCTGCCATGTACCTTGTGTCGTGCAAACTACATACCCGGATTGTGTGTATCAATTCCATAAACAAGCCTCAGTTGTTTATTGTTGCTAGGCAACGTCACACTTAAATATCCGCGAGGACCATTTGCATTAACGTTACAAATACATTCCATACACCATCAACAGTTTAATGTAAAATACAGCATATATAACATTGTGTATTCATTACTAAAATAATACATACAACAATCAAGTGATTTGCGAAATTACTATATTGATGTCCACTCCCAATCAAATATAGCTTTGTTATCATGGCCCCAATACGAGCTTGTTTTTATAAATCGTTCAGGTTCCATACACATGACAGAAATAGTTTTATACATTGTTCCAGTGAGACCATTAATAGCGGCCTATACTTGTGAAACGCGGTCATATTAAGTCTGCTGTTTACAATCCACGCGGGACCACAATCCGATCAACTATGAATTAATTTATTGTACCTCAGACCCTGTTCTGATTCAAAAGGTGTAGCGAAAGTACACAGCAATCTCATGGCAATCATTCAGTATTCTTTCCATTTGTGAGAACATGACGAACGACCGCCGTCAATTCTGGATGCACTGCCGAATATCTATTGAAGTGAGATTCAATATAGGAGTTAAATAGATTGACATATGAATAGCTCTTCTATTGAATCTTGGATGTGTGAAGTGAAGATCAGAGAGTTGTGATCGTCTGTGGAACCCCAGCGGGCAGTCGGCTACCCGTGACAGTGAGTATATAAGACTTATTCCGTAGTTTTTGTCAATTATTATTATTGTTATTTTACATAAAGTTTTCATTAAACAAACGTCTGAAACAGAAACCAGACCGTGTTCTCTGTGATATTCTTTATAATAGCTTAAAACAACCAGACGTGTGTGAGGCTTACTGACTTGCGTTTCCTTCACACGACATGTTAAACAGGTAGTCATAGTCTACCGTTTCACCAAGATTCTTCTCCTGACCTCCGATTATAGTATACCAGCTGCACCCGTGGTGATTCCGGTGTAGGAGGACCAGGTCACTCCCCAGGATCATATCACTCCCCTTAGGATCATAACACCACCCCTTTGCAGGATGAAAACACTCCCCAGGATCATATCACTCCCCAGGATCATATCACTCCTCTTAGGATCATAACACCACCCCTTTGCAGGATGAAAACACTCCCCAGGATCATATCACTCCCCTTAGGATCATAACACCACCCCTTTGCAGGATGAAAACACTCCCCAGGATCATATCACTCCCCAGGATCATATCACTCCCCTTAGGATCATAACACCACCCCTTTGCAGGATGAAAACACTCCCCAGGATCATATCACTCCCCTTAGGATCATAACACCACCCCTTTGCAGGATGAAAACACTCCCCAGGATCATATCACTCCCCTTAGGATCATAACACCACCCCTTTGCAGGATGAAAACACTCCCCAGGATCATATCACTCCCCTTAGGATCATAA